AAAAAAAAAAAAAAGAAAAGAAAATCATTGATCTGAACAGAGGAACAAAGAGAGGAACTATCAGCACAGGAAAAGCCTGGCTTGACTGCACCCAATGACAGGGACACTTGGAAATCTCATCCTGGATACTGAATTTTTAAAATTCTAGACCCGGCTGTTTAAACACACAAAAATGAAAAGGTGAGGAAGCTTGATGTTCTCAGCACCACCTTCTCTTTGCCTTTTAAAATCTTTAATATCCATGGAAAAGTCCAACCCTAGTTAACAGAACCCAGGCTCATGTTTTAAGCTGAGTTGTTTATTCAAGAGAGAAATCTGATACGCAGCTGTCTTCTGCCCCTTCCCTCTTCCCTGGCTTCAGCCTTTTAGGTGAGCTGAGCTTTGCACTGTGTCGCAGTGGTGCCCCATGGCCACCTGTGCTTCTTCCTCACTCTTCCGTGACTGATACAGGCATAGTTAGATATTTTAGTTTGGCACACTCCCCACACACAGTGTTTAGCACCAACAGGTTTTATTCACCGGAATGAAAATTAATTTAGCACTGTGAAGGGAGTTCTTTCTCTTTAGGCCATATTTTTTTTTCTTTCACTTCCCAAAATATTTGTTCTCAGTGTCTCCGCTGAGGTTCCTGTAATTTGCCTGTGATTTTGGGAAATGGTTAAGTAAATGTGGTGGTTGCTGAGTGCTCCCCTGGATTGTTAATCTAACTATGTCTTAATTTGTGGCTGATTCTACAAACCTGATTAATATATGCATTGATCATTATTTTCACTATGTTCTTCCTAATATGATTACTACTGCTGCTTTATGAAACAGTTTAATCCTGAACTAAATTCAGCTTTTAAAACTGAAGAGACTATTATTTTTTTGAATCAGACAGTGTGCTCTCCTGTTCATATAATGTCAACAAGGACTTCTAGATTGTACATACAGTCAAGTTTTTCCTTTCAAATGCCTTGATCGGTGCTTTATTGCAAAAGGTTTTTCTCAGGATAAAGGGGGAATATCCTGTGGCATTATTGAGGTTTGGGCAATATATTCAGAAGATTCTAGTAGCTATAAAAGGTAAGAATTTGCTACCAAAATGCCGCAGTCTTGGCTGGGCACAAAATCACGAGCCACTCACAGCTTTGTAGATTCAAACAGCAATTCTTTATTCCTGAACTCACACCGGCCCTCTACAAACACGTTCTGGGGAAATTCAGGTTCTGCCCACAAAATTCACATACTCCACCAGGCTTTGAATCCCAAATACTTTCTGAATTCCACGAGAACGGGAACTCAGGCAGCAGGATACGCCCTATTCCCAGCAGGAATAACCTTAAACCTGGAACTGCCTTAAACCCAGATTGTCCTAAATCGGGAACGCCCTAAACCCAAATTGTCCTAAACCGGGAACACCCTAAACCCAAGGAGCGGGATACTTCCTAAAACCTGCAGGATACATCCTAAACCTGGATCCACCCTGGTTGTTGAGCAGGGTCACCTTTCTCAAACATACATGCAATGTCACAGCGAATGTCCAAGGCAAGTCCATTTCCACGAGTCCTTCCTCTAAGCAACATGGGGTACGCTGGCAAGGAAATTTAGATGCGTCATTCCTACTTGGCAATGGCCCTCAGCACCAAAATAGAAAGGTAAAGGAGTTTCCTTTTATTTACATTTTGAAATGTAGATGATATGTACATTTTATATAGTTACCTGAAGGTGAATCTCATCTCAAACACTCGTATAATTTTTTTATTAATTTGCAAATTAAATGGAATCCTGTGTAATTGCTATGGAAGCCAATGCCTACATGGAGACTTTACCCTAGAGGGTTTAGAATACAAATATCTTCTTGTTTTCACACAGCACAAACCAGATGGAGATTCACTGAGCATACAGGTATTGATAGTGATTAATCTGGAGGGCAGAGGAAACCAGAGGTTGCTAACGAAGTGTCAGAGAAGTGACTCCCCAGGTTCTACAATGCACAGTCAGGTGGACTCTAGGTCTCCAGGTTCCCATTCTAGGATTCTTTGCACTGCATCATAAAACTTCAGACTTCTGTGTTCTGAAATCTTTGAGGCCATCTTTTTAGAAGTCTATGTTTATTTTTTTCTTTTTCTTTCTTTCTTAGAGGATTAAGAAATAAAAAAAACAAAAACCCTTGTTTTTGTGGGGAATGGGGTATTGGGGATTGGACCCAGGGGCACTCGACCACGGAGCCACATCCCCAGCCCTATTTTGTATTTTATTTAGAGACAGGGTCTCACTGAGTTGCTTAGCACCTCACTTTTCCTGAGGCTGGCTTTGAACTCATGATCCTCCTGCCTCAGCCTCCTGAGCCACTGGTATTGCAGACGTGCGACACTGTGCCTGGCTTAAAAAGGAACAAAAACAAAACCTTCTTTTTTTTTTTTTTGGTGCTGGGGATTGAACCCATGGCCTTGTGCATGCAAGGCAAGCACTCTACCAACTGAGATATATCCCCAGCCCCACAAAAATCCCTTCTTGATAAAATGAAATTTGTTTCAGAATGAGTTTCTGAAAAATTTCTGTTGTTCTGTTGGTATGACCTCTGATCACAGTAAGGAATTTAGTCTTTTTCCTTGGAGAAAAGGTGTAATTTTTTTTGAGTGACCCGGGGTGAGAAGTTTGGGACGTCTGTAGCACTTATGAGACTCATGTTTGGTATGTATACATCAAGATGGTACACCACTGTGATTTCATCTCATTAGTGAGAGCATCTCACTAGTAATAATATGAAGAGCTCCAATGTTAACCTTTCATTCCTGAGTTTGTTAAATGAAATCAGGCAATCTAAGAGTCTTGTTTTATTTCTTGCTGTAGTTGGGGTGGGGCACTGAAGAAGAAAATCAGTAAATAATCCAGAAGCCATGGAAATTTGGTCTTTGACTGCCCCCCCCCTTCTTAAAAATATTAACGGTGTGAAATGGTTTGTCACAATCCTGCTTTGCTGGCTTCATCTTTTCTCTTCTGAATTTCTGTCTACAGGCCAATTATTTTACCTTCTGTGTTCAAAGGGAGATTGAAACCATAGGAGAGAGGAAATAATAAATATATTTTACATTTAAATGTCTTCTTGACCTGGGTTACAAAAGCAAGATCTTATGTCTAAGAAAATGTGATGGAAGGACCCTAGAGAGTATATTTTTGAGTATATTTTTCTGTTTTCAGAGTATGGCAGGGAGGTTTGGAGTAGTCCCGAGCAGTGTCGATACTGGATGCACTTGCTTCGTTCCTTTTCTCAATAGTTGTTTATCCATGAGCATAGCAGCATCATGCTTGTGAACTCTTGTGGAGTCAGGTTGCTCTCTATGGAGGACTCAGGAACACAAATAGAGTGGATGATATAAGCAGGAATTGTATAATATTTTAAAATTAGCTTTAGAACTTGATTAATGTCTTGAACTTGAAGGATTCTCTTCTTTTGTTTCCACTTACTGTTTATACTGTTTCTAGAATTCTGGGGAAGTTGATGGATCAAACCCTTTCAGATCTTTGTGCAGTTGTGATGTGTTAAATGATCTTGTGTGTTGTGTTGTATTTCTAGAACTATATGGCTTTGATGTGCTCATAGATTCTACTCTGAAGCCATGGTTGTTGGAAGTGAATCTCTCTCCTTCTTTGGCCTGGTAAGTCATTTCCATCAACTTGAAAAGGACAAACGTACAGATGACCCTAAAACACTTTTTAACGAGGGTCAGGAGGGTCATTTCATTTAGCACTAGAAGACTTTCCCCCTGTTATTAGATAGAGAAGGCTCAAATTTTTAAATGATTTTTTGGCAACCAGGGATCCCTGTTTTCCTAGTCAGTTGCAGTATGTGCTTACTGTTTATTGGACCTCTGGAATGTGATTTCTGCATTTGTTTTTATCCTGAAGGGTTTTTTTTTTTTTAAACTTGGTAGGTCTTTTGTTAAGAATAAAGAAATACATATGGCATTATATTCTCTTTATTACAAAGGTTTATACTGACTCAAGTCCACATATACTGTAAAGCTGGACCTTTGCTTATGTAGGTTGTACCTGGTTCTTTTGCCTCCTCCACGTCCTGGTATCCATCCAAAATTAATGTCTAAGAACTTCAAAAAATCTTTTTTTAAAAAACCAATTCTTGTTTAGAAGAAGGAAAGACACATATTTTTCAGAACTGAGAAGATTCTTCTTACCTCTGCAGCCAGAATTTCTATTAGCTATACACTTATCTAAATAGAAAAGCCTAGAGATTTATGCCAAAGACCACCCGGCTGTTGAATTTTAAGGATGAGAAGGAATGGCAGAATGCCAGTGGAGCGAGATCTGGCTTCACCTCGGTAGTAAGGTGTAGAACTGGATGTTACAGATGCTGCAGATGTTATGCTGTACTTTGGCCAAGTCAGCCTTCTGCAGATTACCCAGTCAAGCACCTTAGATACTGTTAGATGCCCCCGGGTGTTGCATCGAGTACAGCATGGAGGGACACCAAAGCCAGCCTTTTGCTTTCCGTACATGTTGCTTGTGTTTCTGTGTGGGTTCCTGCTGCATCGTTTGGTGGGACTTTGGTATGTTTTGTTGTGTCTTTCTGCATTATTTGCAAGCCTAAGAAAATTGATTTAAAACAGAAAATAAAGACTTAACAGAAAAGTATGAAGGTGGCCAAAGTTTCTTGTCTTGTATGATTCAACTATTGCAGCAGTAAAACAAAATTTGGATGATGGGCATACTCATAAAAGAGCATACTAAAAGTCTAAGCCTTTAAAATCTATGGTGATAATGAAGCAATATTCTTGACTTGTGCAAAATTTGAATTGCATAAGACCTTCTGGAATAAAAAGATTACATGTTAGGGAATCAATGCGTTGGTGCTGGGCCTGCCTCACAGAGGGCGAGTTTAACACCAGGCTTTTATTTCTAGTACTTCTGCCCAGATGTTCTTGTCTTTTTCCATGGATTTGATGTGTTTTATGTGTTGCTTCTCATCAACATTTGGAAACTCTCCTATATGGGGACCCATTAGAAGGCAGCTATTCTGTTAACCTATAAAATTTATCAATTGTTCTTTTCTTTCTCTATTTTCTTAGTGATGCACCTCTGGACCTAAAAATTAAAGCCAGCATGATTTCAGATATGTTCACTGTGGTAGGTGAGTAGTAGTGTTTTTCAAAACAGTCTCATATAAAAATTAACTAGAGCATCCATTTTGTCAGGCTCCATAGGTATTGCCAACTGGCAGTTCCTAAGCCATGCTGAATGTTTTGTACTAAAAAATTATATTTTCAGGGAAGTGTTTATATGTTTCTACTCCCCCTGGCTCCATCCTGTCCTGAGGCTGAACCACAACTAAGGCTGAGACCTGAGGCATAGGAATTATGAGCTGAGGCAGAGAATTAAGCAAAGATCTGCAGAAAGTGTATTTTTCTCTGAGCTGGGAAAGTGAAACCCACTGACGAAGCCTGGTTACAAAGGAGACTGGCTGTGTTTCTGCTAGACAGTCTCTACTGGTCTCAATATGATCCCTGGTGTAGTATTTATAACCAAAGTGGCCCAAAGAAGAAATCTCATTTTAAGTAGATAAGCCAAAACTTTGAAATGGAGATGGGCATTCAGGTGGATATGATGTGGATTTATTGTTGTTTTTTGAAATTCTCTAAAAAGACATAATAAAGTGTATTTGAGATGAACTTAGTACTTGATGTACCAGTAAATGCTATAAAACTTAGCTACTCTATTCTTCTTGGATAGGAATTCACTTCTTTTTAGGAAGTCAGTGAAATTAGCTGACGTCCAATTTCTTAAATGATAGATAATGTACAAAGCCCGTTTTGGGAGTAGCCAATGGGCCACCTTCGGCATTTCCAGAAGTAGATCATGTAGCAGGACAACACTGCTCTCTTGCTTTTGGATACCCAGTAAAAACAACATCATTCTCTAGTCAGATTCTGGAAACCACTTTGAAATAACTTGTTTTTATTAATAACTATGTGTTTTAAAATGGCCATATACACATTTACTCAGGATTCATCAAGAATCTACATCTCTTTCTCAATCAGAGTCACATTTCAGCTACCCAACTAACATAATCATCTTGATGATGGATCTCTGTGATACTTATGACTGTGTAATTGAGTTTGTGCATCTACAGTTGCAGCCAAATCTGCTAATATCTTAGAAAATGGCAGATTTTAATGTGGCCCATTCCCCATTTAGGATTTGTGTGCCAAGATCCTGCCCAGCGGGCAACTACTCGGCCAATTTATCCCACCTTTGAGTCTTCCAGGAGAAACCCTTTCCAGAAGCCTCAGGTAAGGAAATTCAGCAGCAAGGAGTCCAGGGGAGGCTTACAAGGAAGTGGCAGCAGATGTAAATGAGGGAGTCCAAGTGCCATGGAGGTGAGGTGGCTTAGGGGAGGAGAATTGGGGATCAGTCTAGACAGGGGGCAGTTATGTTCAGCTGTGGCTAAAAGCTTATGCTTTCCAACAAATTTTTACTCCCTGCCTTTGTTTTGTCTTTTCTCTTGGCTTCTTTTTCTCATGCCTTTCCTTTTGTCTTTCTGTCTCTTTTCAAAAGTTACCCCCCCCTTCCCAAATGGGCATACTCATAAACAAAGCACAGGGAGGGAGCCTATTAATTCTTAGTCATTACTGCATTCTTTCTGATCTTCAGACTAATTTCAAAGATGCTCCCTTGAAATAGCATCTCCCTTGAAATAGCATCTTCTCTACCTGAAATTCTCTTCAAAGGGCCCTGAATGATTGTGAGTTATTGATTGAAGCTAAATGAAATAAATGCTCAAAGAAATTTGGGCTTGTCAGAAACATCATTTGATCAAACGTTGCTCTGGTCTTTGTGTACTCTGCGTTTTTGTTCCACTTAAACCCATCAGCTAACCTCCGTCTGCTCCTTCCGTCCTTTCATCAGTCCCTGTCTGCCTCTACACTGCTGATTTCTTTGCTTTTAATTTTTCTTCTCGTGTAAAAGCTCCCTCTTCCCCGCCTCTGTGCATCGGGTTTGATCACCTAGCATTCCTGAAGTTTTGAAGATACTTTCTTACTAAGTCATCCCACTCTTCAGTGACCGTCACTTCTCATGGCAGCCTTACTTACTTGTTCTGCATGGCGTGGTTTTGCATTCACCGATTCATTGCTTTCAAATTGTCCAATCTCCTTCACTAGATGTAGGCTCTTTCCTGCTCCCCTCCCTCCCTCTTCTCCCCTTTCCCGTCCTTTTGATCCCTTTCACACCCTTACTTCAGCCCTTCACTCCTTTCCTTTTCCCTCCCTTTCCTGCCGTTGCTCTTCCTGCTCCTCTTCCCTTTGCTTGCTGGTCTTATTTTGAGTGGTGCTGGTTCTGTTTGCCAAGCTCATATACTATCATTTATTTAGAGAACTTTTCACTAGAACAGTGTTTTCAAACTCAACCTCCAGGCCTATAGGCAGATGATGTCAGTGAGTACCTGCGGCAGGTGTAACGCAGCTAGAGTGATGTGACAGAGTAGGAGAGCATGGGCCACACGGAAAAGGGGCGCCTGTTTAATGTGCTCTAACTGATCACTGCCGCGCGTCAGTGTGGGCCAAAGGGGCTGAGATCTTCCTGTTGTCAAGAGCAATCAGAAATCTTGCTCTTAAATATCAGCAATTTGTTCATTAAAACAAAACAAAACAGTTTTGCAGGCCAAACATAACATTTCTTTGAGCCGGATGCAGTCTGTCCAACTGTGACCTCTGCTCTGAAATAGACTTCCTAAGTATTAATGTGATGTGGAACAGGGTGTACTGTATTTTAAGAGGTATTATCTTGGATTACATAAAGGCAGCAGAGTTGTACTTGATTAATGCATCATCACAGATCAAAGGGTTTTAAAAAAAAATTTTAATAAGAAAAAGTACAGGATTAACCTAGATGTATTGGGAAAGCTTAATTTGGGCAATCACATTCCTTTGCAGGTTATTTCTTATAGCATCTTTGGCAGGAGCCTCCAAATTGATATAGAAAGAATTGTGAATGTTTCTGTCCAGTTTTAACACAGTTTCCCAAGTTGCACTTCTAGGGATAACTGTATAACAAGCTGGGATGAGTGAACTCTTCTCTCGGCTTGCCTGTCATTTTTTATTGGCAGTTCTTTGCAAATGGTAGGCAATCTACTTAATGTTTGTTTTGCCAACTGGTAGGTAATGGCATGATATCATCCATAAGCAGCCCATAGGGCTCTTACAGACAGGTGCTAAAGGAACTATAGCCTAGGTACATGTACTGTTTGAAACCAATGGTCAGGAGATGATGATCTTCAGTACTTGGCAGAATTGTTCCCTTGGTGGTGAGAAGTTGAAAATGGAATGCAAATGGTGTAGGAGAAAGTGTGAAAAATACAAATTCTCTATTTTTCATCCACAAAAGTGTGGGGCTCTTGCCTTTGGTCTGTGCTTGGAGATTGTTTTTTCCTTTTTCATATCATAGATGTAGAAGATGGAAAATGTAGGCATCTTAGGAGAAGATAAGGCTTTATTCCATTTTTCTGTCTTTTATAGCGCCCAGTATCTGCACAGTTTCAATCATCATACACCAAGCAGGTAAGTTCTGGATCATTTAGAGACTTCATTCAAATTTTATTCCCATTTTCAAATGGAAAATCTTTTAGCTTTAACCTTTTATGGTATGTATTTATGTGCTTGTCTTTTTTGCACAGTTGAGTCAGATGAGATAGAATAAACAAAGATTTGCACACAATTACTGTTGGTTATAGAAGGTAAGAGGAGAGGATATGGGAACATGTAGGTCCTCTTCCTGATGGTGACTTTGCTATGATGGAGACAGTTGAATTTAAATGAGGAACAGGGCAGAGGTATATCTGTTGCTTTAACCAAAATATTCTAGAAAGGAACTATTACAGTTCACAAATGAAACTTGTTTGACTCAGATGTCTTAATGAAATATACTGTTGTTAGTAGCTTAATATTAACAGTGTTTTCACATTGGGTGTTGGGCTGTATTTGAGTTTCTTGACAGTTGACATTTCATACATGTAGTGATTTGCAGTCGAATCTTAGAAACCTGCCATGATTAGTGTTTCAGATGATACCTTTTAAAAAAAGGCAAATATCTTTCTCTCTGAATGGTCAGCATTTGCTCTCTTACTGTTCTTATAAGTAGTTTTTCAGATTAGCCATCACTTTCTTCTAAGCAGATCTTTTTTTTTTTTTGTCTTTTATCTTTTTAAAGCAATAGTCAAGAAGTTCAAATCCTCTTTCTATTATTTGATGCTCTTTTGATAGGTGTCCTTAAGTGTGTTACTGCAACACTGTTTAGCAAAAAACTCCAGTATACTTATTTTGGCATTTATACTTTCTAATGCAGTTTATTATTTCTGATAAAGTGATTTATATGAAGAAATGAAAAAAAACTAGATGCCTTGTATTCTCTTTGCTAACTGGTTGGTTTGATTGTATAGTATGTGTTATGGGTTTAGATGGTGGAGTTCAAAACTATAGTATATGTGGTGTTTATATTTAGTAAGACCTAAATGAGCTAGCTGCTGTCCATGTCCCCCCACCCCCAAAAGGCTGTTGACTTAAAGAGCTTATGTCCTAAATACCCCTGGATCTGATCTGCTTAAGGAGAACATTAAAAATGCTATTTTAGAGACTTCTGAGTTTGATGTCAGAGTATCTCTGATATATAGTTCTGATCTTAATTCTCCTTTATCTATTTTAATCCCATTATATCTAGGTACACTGCTTGAATCATAGCAGGCTGCAGTAGCCTTACTGGAGAGCCAGGCTTCTCTCGAGTCTTTGAACACTGTTTACATGACACAAAATCTTTATTTGGTCAACGTTAAGCATGTTATTCTTTGACTCTCGTTCTTGGCAGTGTTCTGTTTTGTCACTGTCTTTCTGTTAGTGAAGCTCTCAACTCCATAGTAGTTCCATCAGAACTAAGAACATTTTCATCATGAAGTCTTAGTATTTTTGCTCCTCACCTGCCTTTTCCTTTCTATTTTATTGTCTCCATTGACATTTTTCTTTTTCCTCAAATGTCTGTGTCAGATTTTCCACTTGTCAGAAATCGCATTGCCTGCTAGTGTGCAAAGAGCATGGACTTTAGAATCGGATAGGCCTGGGTTCAGATTTGATCTCTGCCGTGGCTAGCTGAGAGACTCGGCACATTCCCTTTACTCTGGGGCTCAGTGGGGAGCATGGTACACACATGGCGGTATGGTGAGGAAGAAAGGATGAAACATGTCAAATATTTGGGATAGTGCTGATCGCTCAGTGCATACTCAGAAAATATAGCCTCTTCACACTTTTGAGTCCTATTTTGATTTTCTTTTTTCCTTTGTTAACATCTAGAGTTATTCTGATGTTCATCAATCTCTGATCATCTCTTACACATTTGCTGTCACCCACAAATGTTATCTATTTGTTCATTTCTTTATTTTTTCTTCCAGACATTATTGGAGATTCTCAATAATGCTAAGTATCATTTACTGAGGTTGATATTCTCTTGAGTTTGTTTTTAACTGAATTTCAGTTTTTGTCAGTGTATTGTACTCATTATATTATGCCACTAACCCCTGAGTGGAAGTATAATTTAGAATAAACATTTCATGAAATTTTTTCAAACACTTCTCTAAAATCCAGAGACATCAAATATATCTTCTGTTGTCTCCATTTTTGTAATTTTACCCTAAAAGTCAAATTTTTAAAGCATGCTTTAAAATAAATAAAGCAGTCTCCATACTACTATTCATGAGACCATTAAATTCCAAATGTTTATGGATTTTTTTCTTTTAACATTTGTTCCATTATTTTACTAGGAGTTCTTGCTAGACTTGCCAGGTGGTAATCACCAGGAGCATACTTCTTACATTTTTGAAGATTGGTACCTCATTTTTTTTTCTTAATCCTCTGGTACCTCCTCAGATGTTCATGATTTTTCAGACATAATTGCAAGTGGTTTGGGGAGGGGTTTTTTGTTGTTATTTTTTTAAAGCCAGTTTCCATTAGAACAAGATGCATGTCTCTCAGGATTGCTGACGTCCATTTATTCCAAAGTTCCAGACATTGCTGATCTCTTTTATTATAACACAAGCCTGCTTACTTACTTACTTAGTTACCTCCACCATTTCACAGTTCACCATTTCTGGTTATCATTACATTTAAACCTTCTCTTAGAAACCATTTTTTGGTTCATATCTACCAGATTTATTAAATGGTCCTTTTCATTTATTTTTTTTTCATTGTGGCACTCCTTCATTTTGCTTTTTAAACTGTGTTTACCTTTTCATGTTCCAGATGGCAAGTTGTATTACATATTAGTTGAGCTATTTCTAGTTCCTTTGGTTTTAATGATGAATTCCAAACTTGGTGAAACTGCATTGGAATTCTTCATTCTTTACATTTGTATTCTGTCAAGCAGATTTTATTTTCTGCCCCTTGATTATGATATCTTTTAGAAGATCTCACCTTTTTTAATATTCTATTTATTAGGTTCTTATTACTAATATTTGCTAGCTTTCTTTAGGCTGAGAAAATACTTTTTCTGAATCAACATCTGTTTCTTGCTGGTTTGAGTGGGGACACAGGGTTCCTTGTCTCAAAAGTTTAACATTCTCAGTCAATTCTTCCTTAGCAATAATGATTAGATACATAAACACTTCTTCTTTGGTAGGTTTCTGAATCATACATTTTGCTCAGGATAATTTAACATCTTTGATGCATGTTGCAAGGCAGAATTCTTACCTCGGCTGTAATTTAGCAGTTTAAAATTTATCTGGGCACCTGGTAGTCTAAATCATGTGTCATCTAACCAGTGGCAACAGGTCTCTTTTTTAAGTTCAGAGAGGGCTTATTGCCTTACTTTTAGTAAGTCAGCCCATTGAAACATGTGATTTATTATATCTGATGTGCCCAAGGTCAAAACCACAGAATGGCTTACATTTGTAGTGTTTTGTCTTTGTTTCTGATAGTTGTGATAACCTTTCATATCAGTCTGATTTCTTTGTTTTCTTCGCTGTTAGTCTCCAAGTGTGTCTCCTTGACACTCACAAAACATTTCTTTTCTCTCGTCTCCCCTTTTTTAGTTCTCTGCCTTTGTTCTCATCTTTATTTTATTATATCATTTGCATGAGTACTCTGTTCTTACAGTATTTGAGCATCAAGTAAGGCTTCTTGACTTTGGAGGGTTCTCTCTGAATGGTCAGCATTTGCTCTCTTACTGTTCTTATAAGTAGTATTTCAGATTAGCCATCACTTTCTTCTAAGCAGATCTTTTTTTTTTTTTTTTTTGTCTTTTGTTTGTTGGGATCCTTGATGAACACGGCTTTGTGACAGCCTCCTTGAAGTCTCTTGAAGTCCGGCAGCCACACGTCTCCTTGGCTGAAGCTTTCCCTCGCAGCTCTCTTCTGCGTCACTGATGATCTCACCTCAGTATTCCTTCCTGAGGTTCTAAAACCTGCCACAAGCAGCTTTTCCATCTGTGACTTAATGATTTGTTCCTTAGTTTTGTGTCTTATGTCCCAATTCCCCTAGCTCTCTCCTTCCTCAGTGCTAAAAAAAATAATAATAATTCCTTACTGGAATAAATACACATTTCCTTTTCTTTTCTGTGAGACTGTTTTCAAGTTTTTTTCCCCATATCTTGACATATTGGATATATTTTAAAACCAAGATTAGGAGTAGGTGCTGGCTTACAAAGCTCATGGACACCATTTCTTTTACCTGGCTCTTTTTTCTCTCACTCATAGTGTTTTTCTACTATTCTGTATTCTCTTCTGGCTTTTAACTTTACTAGTTTAACTTTATTATCTGTTTCCCAAGGTTTCAGGCCAAGAGATTAGTTACAGAAACTGGACTATAGATTTGAGCTTTATATATGCATGTTTGGAAAGATAACGATGTTGAGGAAACAGAGAAAAATGAAGCAGAGAATGAGAACTTTTTTTTTTTTAATTTGCTTTTATGTTCTTCCCCTTAGCGCTCCCGTCCACTCTCTGCCAGTGATGCAGAAATGAAAAACCTTGTGGGCTCCGCCCGGGAGAAGCTGCCGGGGAAGTTATGTGGTTCTGTGCTTGGTCTGTCAATGGAGGAGGTAAAGTCACTCCATTTCAGTCCTTTGTAGATTACCACAGGGCTCAGTGAAAATTAGTGAGTAAGTGATAATATTTACAACAAGCTCTTATATTGAAAAGAGAAGGATTCAAAATGGAAGAAGCTACTCAGAAAACATTTTAAATGCAGTTAATATCTCCTTGCGTGCTTTTATCATATTCTTGGATGATAAACTCTTCCTTTGTCCAATAGCCACATAGATTTGAGTTTTCAAAATAGGTACTTATAGCCAGATGTGATGGTGCATACCTGTAATTCCAGCAACTCTGGAGGCTGAGGCAGGAGGTTCACAAGTTTGAGGTCAGCCTCAGCAGCTTAGTGAGGCCCTAAAAGCAACTTAGTGAGACCCTGTCTCAAAATAAAAACTAAAAAGGGCTGGGATGTGGCTCAGATCCCCTAGGTTCAAATTCTGGTACCAAAAAACAAACAGGTATTTGTTTTATTTTCTCTTCCTCCATATAGATTAAAGTTTTACGGAGGGTAAAGGAAGAAAATGATCGGAGAGGTGGATTTATTCGCATATTTCCTACATCTGAGACATGGGAAATATATGGGTGAGGTGACTACCTTTCTTTAAAAAATCTGTACTTTGAGTTCATAGAATTAGATTTATTGTGACCCAGTTATCATTCCCCCCATGCAGTGCCTTTGTTATTTTGTTTATTTAAAATACAAGAACTAGGTCATCAACAGTAGTTAATTCACCTGTATGGTATTCCTTCCCACCTTCCCCTTCTTTTTTAAATCTCATGACTCCCTCTTGTCTAGTTCCCCAACCCAGGGTTAGACATTGCCCTAAATTTTGTGTATCTAATGATCTTGTCTTGAAAAATTGTATGTGCCTAAACAGTATGTTTTTTATTTTTAATAATCACTGAGATCTAGTTTACATGCAACAAAATGCATTCATATACATTATGATGATGACCCTGGGGTCTCAGACATCAACTGAGCTGCTTTGTCACTATAATTTTTCTAGAATTTCATATGAAAGACTCCATTTATGTCCTGATTCTTTTGTTTGGTATGGTGTTTTTGATTTATTTGTATTGTCTGAAGAAATAAGTCGTTAGTGTGTACTCATAGATCGTGTGACTGTCCTGTAGCCTGTTATCCATTCACCTATTATGAGCCCCATGGGTTGTATTCAGCGCTCAACTATTATAAAGAAAGATGCCATCAACATTCATGTACAAGTCCCCATGTGCTTTTTGGATCTCATTGCTCTTGAGCAAATGCCTCAGGGTGGGATAGATAGCTTGTATGATAAGCTGACCATCCTTTCACATTTATCAGTGATTCAGGAAAGCTCTGGTTGGTCCCTGCCTTGCCAATGCTTAGTATTGCCAGACTTCTTAAACTTTAGGCAGTTGAGTGTATCTCTGTAGTTTTGACATTTTTCCTCTGAGGTCTAATGATATGAAACATGTATTCGGATGCTATTGACATTTTTATTTTTTGTTATTGTGTTACAAAGGATGTGACTACTTCTGGGACAGGTCTTTCCATATATACATGGAAAAATACATATTTTCTCCAAGTTGAAGCTGACTTTTATTCGTATGCTCTGCAGGGCCTTTTATGAAGGCTGAGGCCCTTTGTATTTCTTGTCTGAGATCCGTGCCATCCGCAGCTTTGCAAAGATTTTTCTCTTGTGTTTTCTTCTGGAGTTTTGCAATTTCAGCTTTTATTTCAGGTCTATAATATGTCTTGAACTAAATGTTTAGGGCACAAATTTCCTTTTTGAGTTTCTTCTTAGTGACATGCCATGCATTTTCATTATTTTGGATTTTTTTCATTCTATTTAAATACTTTCTGATTTCTCTATTGGTTTTCTTTATGGCCCACAGGTTCTTTAGAAGATACAATTTAGTTTTCAAATATTTGGGGTTTTCCCAGAGATCGTTGTGTTATTTATTTCCAGCTTACTTCTATTGAGAACAGATTTCATATAACTTACAGCTTTTTTAATTTACTGAGATTTGTTGTATGGCCCGGTATACCATTCGTCTTGATGAATGTAATATTACATTGAAAAGAACGTGCAGTCTGTTGTTGGATGGAGTGTTCCACAGCCATGTGGAGCTTGACGGTGTGATTCAGATCTTCTCTATCTGTTCTAGTTTCTTCAACTATTGATAGAATAGTGTTGAAATCTTCAACTATAATTGGTGAACACAGGAAAAGCAAAACTGATAGAGTCTTGCTAATTTGCTCAACTGGCCTCAAAATTTTAATCCTTCTGCCTGAACTTCCTGAGTAGCTGTGTTTACAGGCATGTGCCAGCACACCTGTATTCCCTCCTGTTTTTCTTTTTTTGGTAAAGAGAATTGAACCCAGGGGTGCTTAACCACTGAGCCACATCCCCAACCCTTATTATTATTTTGAGATAGGATCTCACTAAATTGCTAGGGCCTCTCTAAATTGCTGAGGCTGGCTTTGAACTTGTGATCCTCCTGCCTTGGCTCCCAAGTTGCTGGGATTATAAGAGTGTGCCAGCATGCCTGATTCTCCTAGTTTTTTTCCCCAGTAGTTTGATAATTTTGAGTTCTCCATTTGAATCTTAAATTCATTTTAGTTGATTTTTTTTTAATATGGTAAAAGAGAAGAGTCTAACTTCATTCTTCTCCACGTGGATATCCAGTTTTTACGACACTATTATTGAAGAGACTGTTTTTTCCTCATTGTATTCTTCACAGCTTTGTTGAAGATTGGTTGGCTAATAAGTGTGTGGATTTATTTCTGGGCTCTGTTGTCTGTTCTGTTGGTCTGTGTATCTTGTTTTTATGCCAGTACTATGGTATTTTGGTTACTATTACTTTGAGGTCAATTAGTATAATGCCTTCAACTTTGTTCCCTTTGCTCAAGATTTTTTTACCAGAGTTTTAGGGTAAAGGCTCTGATTCCAAGGATTTCAACAGACTAGTTTGGCTGCCTATTCCAAAACGCCAATTGAGGAGACAAGCAGTGGAAAAGGCAAGAAAGGAGCCTTAATTAAAGTGGCCACACTGGGAAGAACAGAGAAAGGTCTAGTGACCTAAGATCTGTCTTTGAGGAACTGGCAGGAACTTTGAGGTTTTATGAACAAAGGCAAGGGCCAGGGTTTTGCATAGCCTTTGCTCATAAAGTCTCAAAGACAGATCTTAGGTCACTAGACCTTTCTCAGGGGCAGAGAGGTTGATGCATATCTGACCAGGGTCAGCTTGATGATTATCTCAGGACTGGTTTTACGAAGTTCTGGGTAAGTTTTCATTGCTTGAAGGGCAGTTTGGTTCCTATCATGAGATGATTATTCCTGCTTAGGGGGGCAACCTCTGCTCCATCATGGGGTAATTGCTCCTGCTTACAGGGCTCATCTCATCATGGGGTTGTCTGTCATGAGGCTTGCTCTTGCTTGGGGATGGTTTTGGCTCCTTTTTATAAAGATGTTTATTGGTGAGGCCTGTTGTTTCTGGAATTCAATGCAACTACAGGAGAACTCAGAGGGAAAAAGTCATAGGAAAAATGGAGTTAAATTAGGTCAGCAACTAGGCCTTCCTTTAATTGCTTTGCCTATTTGGGGTCTTTTGTAGATCCACACAAATTTCAGGAGTTTTTTCCCCTGTTTCTTGAAGAATGGCATTGGTATTTTGATAGGGATTGCTTTGAGTAGTATGGACACATTAACAATATTTACTCTTCCAATTCCTTAATAAATGGATGTCTCTTCGTTTATTTTTATTCAGTTTCTTTTATCCATGCTTTATAGTCTTCAATATAGAGATCTTTTATCTTCTTTGTTAAATTTATTCCTAAGCATCTTTTTTTCTAACTATTGTAAATGGGATTGTTTTGTAATTTGTATTTCAAATAATTCACTATTAATGTATAGAAATGCTTCTGATTTTTATATGTTGAGGTTTTTTTTTTTTTTTAATCCTGCAGCCTAACTAAATTAGTTTATTAGATCAAACAGTTTTTTAGTGTAGTCCTCTAGGATTTTCTATATATAAGATCATGTCATCTACAAATGGGGACAATTTAATTTCTTCCTTTCCAGTTGAGATGCCTTTTATTTCTTTCTCTTGCCTACTTGCTGTTGCTGGGACTAACTACTGTGGTGAATAGAAGTGGTAAAAGTGGGCAGCCTTATCTTAGAGGAAAAGCTTTCAACTTTTCCTTGTTCAGTATGATGTTAGCTGTGAGTTTTCTGTGTTTACATTTCATTTATACTTAGTTTATTGAGAGTTTTTAATCATAGAAGAGTCGTTGCATTTTCTGCCTCTGTTGACGTAATGTCTTCCAGTTGTTGATTTGTATTTGTTGAGCCATCTTTGCATTCCTGGAATGAATCCCAATTTATCATAGCAAACGGTCATTTTTAATGTGCTATTGAATTCAGTTTGCTAGCATTTTGTTGAGGATTTTTTAATCTAAGTTTTTGTCTTCATATAGTTTGTGTGTTTGTGTGTGTGTTTTCATCTGGTTTTGGTATCAGAATAATGCTGGCCTTGTAGAAGGAGTTTGAAAGTATTCCTTCATCATTGAATTTTTTGGAATAGTTTGAGAAGAATTGATGTTCATTCTTCTTTAAATATTTGCTATAATTAATCAGTGAAGATATCAGGTTCTGGGCTTTTTTTTCTCTTTTTTTGATCAGAGACTTTTTATTATTGATTCAGTCTCATTACTTGTAACTGATCTATTTTCATTTTTTTTTCTTCATAAGTCAGTCTTGATAAACTGTACATGTCCAGGAGAGCACCATTTCTTCTAGATTACAAGCCAGTTTATTGTTCATAATACTTTCATGATCCTTTGTGTTTTTTATATCAGTTGTAATATATCCTTTTTTCTAATTTTATGGATTTGAGTCTTTCTCTTCATTATTTTAACTGCTGGTTTATTGATTTTGTTTATCTTTTCAGAAAACCAACTCTGATTTTTATTGTTTCATTTCTTCTACTAATTATGGGTTGAGTTTATTCTTGGGTTTTCAATTCTTTGGGGTACAACATTAGGTTGTTTGAAATCTTTCTTCTGTTTTGATATAGGTATTTACATGGTATATCTTTCCCCCTTGTTTTACCTTTTATCTATCTCTATAGTTAAGGTGGATTTCTCATAGATGGTGTGTGGTTAGTCTTGATTTTAAAATTTAATCTCTGCCTTTTATTTGGAATGTTAAAAATATTTACATTTACCATAATTTTACATATGGTTGGGTTTAAAAATGCCATGTTACTCTTTGTTTTTTAGTTGCTATAATTTTGTCTCCTTTTTATTTTCTCCTGCTGCCTTTGTATTAATTGATTGCTTTTACCTCTTTGTTATACTATTTTTAGGGCTACTATCCTAGAGTGGATGCACATCTTTGACTTATTGCAATGTCACTTTCAAATAATATTATATTAATTCATGTATAATGTAGGGACTTTACAACTAATATACTTTCCATTTCCTCTTCCTATTGTTTGTGTTATCATTATCATATATTTTATTTCTATGCAAGTTCCACAGTAGAGTGTTAGTTTTGACTTGAATAATGAGTTATAATTTAAGGAAATTGAAACATTTATTACTATTTTCAGAGTCATTCATTCTTTTATATCAGTTCAGGTTTTTATCTGGTATCATTTTCTTCTAGGATTTGTTGTAGTGTAGGTCCAATGGCAACAAATTTTCTCTTACGTTTATCTAAGACAAGTATTTGTTTTTCATGGTTTTTTTTTTTTTTTGGTACCAGGGATTGAACTCAGGGGCACTCAGCCACTGAGCCACATCCCAGCCCTGTTTTGTATTTTATTTAGAGACAGGGTCTCACAGAGTTGCTTAGTGCCTTGCCATTGCTGAGGCTGGCTTTACACTGGCAATCTTCCTGTCTCAGCCTCCCCATCCTCTGGGATTATAGGCGTGTGCCACTGCGCCCAGATGTTTTTCATGTTAAAAAGAATTTTTTGACTAGTTATTGAATTTAGATTGATACTTTTTCCCCAGTATACTTTAAAAATGTCTTTCCGTGGCCTTCTGGCTTGCATTTTTCTTATGAGAAATGTGCAATAATTCTTATCTTTGTTCATTTGTGTACAGTGTCTCTTTTTCCCTCAGCTTGCTTTTTTGTGTTTTTGTAGACTTGCTTTTTAACTGTCCTCCATGGTACATATTCCTCCAATTTCAAGTGGACTACAGGTGGTCTGGGCAGGCTCCCTCCAAAGGTAACCCAGGGAAACTAATAAGAACAGCTTACTCTTGGGCTACTGAGTTGTTCAGGGATGGACGTGTGACCAGGGCCTGTCCAATGAGAGCCACCTCAGAATCCTGCCTGGGAGAGAGAGGTCCTCTTTTCTTTCTGTTAGATCTGGACAAAGGAAGCTTGTTCTTTGATTCTGCAGCTGCCATATGGTATGTCCCCATGCCAGGAACCAGCCTGTAACCATCGAACCAATAAACCAGGGCATTAGGGACAGTTTGGATCTGCTGGATCTACCCTCACTTGAAACTTGTGTCTTTGAGGAGCCTTCATCACCAAGAATGGAGTTAAATTCACAATTCTCATGTTTGAACTTTTAATGAGCAGTTAGCCCAGATCCTTTTTTCGCTACTAGTTTTACCTGGGGTCAGGTGCCAGTGATTCTAACATCCACAAAGGAAAAGTGTTCCTGGTGCTGAGAGGTGCCTTTTATGTTTCCCCAAGCTCTACCTGGAGAGGAGGTCCTAGCTTTGAATCTCAGCTTTCTAGCTGTACTTTAGCAGAGGGCAAGTCTCCTGTCACCTGTATCAGGAGACCTGCCTCCCACTCTGTCAAACTGAAATAACACCTACTTTAGAGGGCTGCTGTTTAAAGGAGATGGCACATTTAATCAGATTGCTTTTCTACAGCTTTCTTTCTTTGGGGGATTCTTTGAGCTTCCTGGGCTGTGGGCTCATATTTTTCATCAAATTTGGAAACTTTTGGCCATTATTTCTTCAAATAATTTTTTCTAGTTCCCTCCTTTCCTTTATTTTTCTAGGACTCTGGTTACATGTTAAATTGGTTCATATTTTGCAAGTTTATCAATGTTTATATTTTTTCAGACTTTTTCCCTTTCTTGCCTTCATTTTGTTTTTGTGTGTGTTCGATTTCTTTTAGATTCTTGTGCATATAAATATAGTAACTTTTTAAATCTTTTTCTTATTCTGTTATTTCTGTCATTTCTGGGTCTATTTCTGTTGACTGATTTTCCTTTTGTAAATGGTTTACATTTTTCCAGTTTCTTCATATGTACAGTAATTTTTTGATTGGATACTGACCTGTGTGTGTGTGTGTGTGTGTGTGTGTGTGTGTGTATTTGTGCGAGTATGTTTTGTCTTGTTGTACTGGGAATTGAACCCAAGGGCACTTAACCACTGAGCCACATCCCAGCCCTTTTTATGTTTATTTCTAGTTTTTATTGTGAGACAAGGGTCTCACCAAGTTGCTCAGACCTTTCTCAATTACTGGCCTCAAACTTGCAATCCTGCCTCAAATTTGTAATCCCAGGTTGCTAGGATTACAGCATGCATCACCATTCTCAGCTTAGGTACTGACCATTATAAATGTCATATCTGACTGAGTGTTTGGATTTTATTGCCTTCTTAAAATCTGTGAAGTGTTTGTTTGTTTTTTGTCAGGCACCTCAGTTACTTGTAAATCAACTAAATATTTTTAAGCAAATTTTTAAACATTATTTGGTTTATTGAGAATACCTTTTTTTCCTAGATCTTGGACAGTTCTGCCACTAAAGATTCCTTTGGGATGACTGCTCAGTGACTCCCATGTATAAGATCTCTCCTGACTAGTGAAACTCAGCTTGCAGGCTTGTGCGAACTCTGGGAGTTTGGCTTCTGCTTTGTTCTTTGTTCTGACAGTTGCTTTTCACTTAGCCTTGCACTCTGTGCCTGAGTGGATTAGTATTCACCAGAGGACTCTAGGGACCCCTGTTTGGGATTTTCTCTTAGGCACAGGTTTTTCCTCTGCAGCTCTCTTCTCTGAAAACTCTGGCTGCTTCCTAGAATTCGGATCTCTACCATCTCCTCTGGGAGACTGTTGGGAGACCTTTTCTTATATAGTCTGGAGATTTTTAATTCCCTCTATCAGGGATCACAGTTCTGTACTGCCGGTTGTTTGATATCTGAAGACGGTTGTTTCTTTTATGTCATATACTTTTCTAGCTCTTTGTGCTAGGAGTGCAGGTCCTGTAGCAGTTATTGTCTTGTGTAGAAGAAGAATTCTATTGTTATAAATGCTTTTGACCTTTTTCTAAACAAAATGGCATGCTTTATGTACGCTTGCTTTTTCCATTAAGCATTATGATACTAAGGTCCATGTGGTTGCCTGTAGCTATACCTCATTCCTTTTCAGTGCTTTATTTTATTTTACCATGTGTTTGTACTACTGTTAATTGTCCCATTTTCCTGTTGAAGGTCATTTGACTTCTTTCTGGTCTTTTGCTGTGCTATATATATTCTTGAATATGTCTCCTGAGTATGTATCTAGGAGTGAATTGCATCCTGTAATCCCAGTGGCCGGGAGGCTAAGGCAGGTGGATTCTGAGTTCAAAGCCAGCCTCAGCAACAGTGAGGCGTTAAGCACCTCAGTGAGACCTGTCTCTAAATAAAATACAAAAAGGGCTGGGGATGGGGCTCAGTGGTCCATGCCCCTGGGTTTGGTCCCCGGTACCAAAAAACAAAAAAACAAAAAAGAAAGAAACAGTTTCCTGTCTATATCTCATGCCCTTTCTGCATCTCCGGGCCTCACTTCATTTGACGATTTCTACATGTGTGATGTGGTCAATTTCTACATCGGTAATGTGTATCTTTATCTTTCAGATTCATTTTCTGAATTTACTAATATCACCTTTTATTAACCCAAGAAATGCTGCCCTTTTTTTCTTTTTATTTTCTAAGTTAAGTCCTTTTTCTTTATTCTTTTCATTTATTCTACTTGCTGCTACTCTGGTATTTTATAATTTTAACTTGAGCAGTCGTCTACTCACCTGCCACTTTTAAAACAGCGTATTTCTTTAGAACAGTATGTAAGTAACCTGTCCCTTCTGTGCTTGGTTCATGTTTTTATTTCTGTATTTTCCTCTTGAGCTAAGCTCATGCAATAACTGCTTTTTTCTTTGTCCTTCAGGTCCTACCTCGAGCACAAAACCTCCATGAACTACATGCTGGCAACACGCCTCTTCCAGGACAGGTGGGGATTTGCTAAACTCATAAATTTAGGACTAGGTCACAAGATTAGGACAAAGTGTATGTAAAGGAAAGAAAGAAGTTTTATCAAAACGTTTGTAAAATCTGTGATAGAAAGAACCTTGCAGAAAATGTTCATACTTCATTTTTCAGAATCTATCAGTAACTTTCAGCACTTTGAAACATTCTCAGAAACCCAAATTAAACCATAAAGATCTTTGAGCAGTCTTAACAGATGCCGTTCCTACTCATTGCCTTTTGACCTTAGGCACAATTTTAATAGAACAGGTAGTTTTTCTAGACCAGAAGAGATTATAATTACCAGATCAGAAAAAGTGGAGAGAAAGGAATTTACAGAATAAATTCACTGATACTTGTAGGAAATGACAGCTGATCATCTCGGCACAAGAGAAAAGAGGGAAAGGATGGAGAACAGACACTGGAATTCAAGTAGCATGGTGACCAAGTGTCACTTAGTCCCACAGAGTTCAGTGGCCCCTGAGACACAGCTGCATTGAACACTCTTCAGTAATTATCAAAACCTGGCACCTGAGTTATTCAGAGAAATCGTATTATTATTTTGAGAGTATCTATCTTTTTTTGAATGATTCTTAAAACAGAGACCCAGATTCCAGCCGTCATGGCTGTGTCCCCCTGGATTCTTGACTTTCACATTCCATTGTGTCTTTTATCTTTTCACTCTTAGAGATTTCTTGAAACTTGTCTTCTAAAACTCTAAATTGATCCTCAAGGTTTTTGTCTTTTGGATTTTTTTTGTTGTTATTGTTCTTTGCTTTTAGAATTCATTATCCTCATAGAAGAGAGGCTGTTTAATTTACTTTTTTATTTGGAGAATATGATTTTGATATCCAAGAACTATCTTCAATTAGTTTTCATATTTTATGGATATGAACTCTTTTCAAATCTCAGTCTTAGTTAAGTTCCTTTTAGCTTTTGCATTATATAATTTATCTGTATTGATTTTGTTTTTTCACTTTGTTCTTTTTGGTTTTTATTGTCACATATCTGCAAATATCTGGTGAGCTCTGCCTCTTGAGAAGGACTGGGCCCTTTGGTGGTTTGCCTGGTTTTCTTACAGGTCATCTAGAGAGATTCCCGACCTGACATGGACCCTGCCTAAGGCTGGATCTTCTAGTACTTGGGTTTCCTGAGGAAGAAGGGTACAGCAGACAAACTGGGGACTACTATGTTAGCCAAAATTAGGAAGCATTCCCTTACAAGTAACATAACAATCAAAAAATTTAAGACTATAATAATAGATGTGCTTTGCTAACACAGGAAATAGCAAAACCTAACAGCAGGCCTGAAAATTACCAAAACTTCACAGAAAAAATATTGATAGTATTTTGAGATCCCTGTCACAATTCTAAGTAGTATGAGAAAAGATGTATTTCTTTTGATAATGAAGTTATACTAATTCACTACTATGGATTCCTACATTTATATGGAGGAACCTTTTCATTAGAGGAGATAATGTTTTTCTATCTTAAGTTGTTATATTCCCTGCATTCTTTCTTCAAGTCCCAGTTAACAACTCCTGCTTATAAAGCATTCTAGAAATTTGGATTAAGAAAACATAAATTTCCTTGTTCAGTAAAGAATGCCTTCATGATTACTCTTGCCTACCATTTTAGCCTAACCCATGGCCAATGAGGCCATCTTTACTTGCCATTTTACAATTCCTTATCCTTACAAACTCTCTTTCCCTTGCAATGGACTTCGGTTGTTAACTAAATTCCTATGTTGTTCTTCCCTTCAGGCTGGACTAGGAGGCTGTATTCTCATCCCTTCTTTTACTCTTCGGTCTGGTTTAATTTTCCAGATTGTAGTGTAATTTCCTTTTTGCTAACTTGTGTTTTACAAGTTGGCCCTTTAGAGTGGGTAGTTTGTTATATTTGTTTATGTCAAGAACCTATCTACCACATCGTAGGCAGACACACAAAACCAGGCATTGAAAAAATGAAATTGCATTTGTTCCAGATTCTGATATATTCTAGTAAATCTCTTCAGTCTGAATTGATGTATTTCCTCTTGCAAATCCAATTGTGTTGTTAGAAGTACTTTCAAACTAAGTCTCCTTGTTTCTTATAAGTTCATTTTGTTCACCTGCCTTCTCCACCGACTCCTCTGCCTGTCTCCCTGGCACATAATATCTTACATAAGTGTCTTACTCAGTGGCCCTAGTTGTAAGCCTGGCTACATATCTGTAACTCCTGGGAATCTTGTAAATCACCTTTGTGCCCTGGCCCACCCCTAGAAGGAAGTCCTTACTAAGAGCTGCCCCACTGATTATAATGTGAAGCCATGATTACAGATTACCGGAGAAAGCTTTCATATAGCAAAGGAATTAAAGTTGCCTTGAGACTTTTTGATGATATTGTGACAATATCAGGGATATAAGATGTGGTAAAGACAAAAATCTTGGTAAAGACAACTTTTCACTTTACTTTTTAAAATAAATATAATCTGCATTGCATTTGTCTCTTAAAAAAAACCCATAAGTTACGTGCTGAGTGATTCTGTTTATATGACATTTCTGAGATGACAAGTTTTAGAATGAGCAGTTAATGGGAGAGATCAAGTAGGAGGAAGGTATGTGTAGTTATGAAAGAGCAGCACAGGGGATGCTTATGGTGGCTGAGGTCATAGTTCAGCAGCTCACTTGTGATGGTGGACACATGAATTTTCAAGGGTGATAAAATTGTGCTAAACTAAATATACACATTCACAAATAAAATGTATGAAGTGAAAGGAAACAATGAGAGAATGTTTTGAAAGCCTATTTAAACTTTAAAATGGTACTCGGTTCCTGTGGTTAGAGCCCAACCCTAGTTTAGAGACAGTGGATGGTGTCTGTCTGTCTCTCTCTTTTATACATACATACACATATGTATGTATGTATATATAATTTTTTTTTAATTTGTGGAAAGTTTATGATGAATATCTTTTTGGAACCCCATAAGAATTGAACTTGGTTTCCTTTCCTGAAATAGTTCAGTGAAGGTAGAATGAGCTGAGTTTGAGACTAACCAAGTCCTGGGTTGAGATGTAAAATCTTGAAGCTCTGACTGTGGGCAGGTTCCAGAATCATTTATATAAACAGAGCTAAGAACACCCTTCTTCACAGGATTGTGGAGAGGAATAAATGTGATTTGCTTTGTAAGTAAATGTAAGTCATTGTCATTTTTCTCCAGAATCTCTTTGTTTTTTTCCTTCTGTTTTTTATTGAGCTTCCCTCCAGCTCACAATATTCTGCTCTTCTCTGAGAATGTTCTCAGCTGATCTGTAGGCTTCTCTCCTCCCAAGGTGCACTTTCTGTTATGATTTCCTATTGAATGTCTATAATAAAAGAGTTCAGGAGGCATGTTTGTGTGTGTGAACTCCAGAGTGAATATCTGAATAGCATTCTCTAACCCAGTTGTCCTTTCTACTTCTGTAGGGGAAACCCAAGAAGAAGCTTATTGACAGGAAGAACACGGTAATTGATTTTTAAAAGTTGAGAATTCTTTCCATGTGCATAATAGTATGACCATGCACAGACTAAGCATAACACTTTATATGACCATTTTTAATTTGGCTCAATATGAATAGTAACATAAAAATGTTTTCTATTGAAAAAGTATTTTGTGGCCACTTTTTATAAACTGAGATTTATTTTCTTATAATTACATGTATATCTTTTGAACTAATAATAACCGTATTCTTGTTTGGCTATGTGAGAGAGACCAGTGTATTAATGAGATTTCAAGACCATGTTAGATTCAAATAAGAGCTTATGCTTTGGTCCTGACATTCTGAGGCATATGACCCTGTGCTTTATGGGACTGAGCCGAACTCACTTTCCGTTAGCTGTGGAACTCGAAGGGTGCAAAATACCTGTAACTTTTCATTTGGGCAGAAAGTAGAAATGTGTCAGAGATGGCTTTGCCTCACTGAAGACTTCAGTGACTGAAAAAACTCTTAGCCTAAAAATACATCTTCTGGTTATGGAGAGTGTGAGGCTTTACATATACCCTCTTTGTGCTGTACCTCTTTAAAAATAGCAATGTGATGACAATGAGGAAGAAACTTCCTATACACAGCTTTTTGTTTTGCCTGTAAGAGTTAAAACAAAGAGGGAAACTTGGTTTCTCAGCTAGGGCCTTTGAAGCATCAATCTAATTTTTCTTTAAAGAAGGAAAGCATTAAGATTGCTTTTTTTTTTTTTTTTAAAGAGAGAGTGGGAGAGAGAGAGAGAATTTTTTAATATTTATTTTTTAGTTCTCGGCAGACACAACATCTTTGTTTTATGTGGTGCTGAGGATCGAACCCGGGTCACACGCATGCCAGGCGAGCGTACTACCGCTTGAGCCACATCCCCAGCCCCAAGATTGCCTTTTAATGAAGGGGAAACTGAAGTAAATCAAGTTTGTAGTTTGTTTCCAAATAAAGTCACACTTAGTTTCTAAGTTTTCTCTAGTTTTTAGCCCAGGAATATACTTCCTAGAGCATAGTGCTGTCAGATTGGCATTGGGAACAGAAAGAATGAATCTTACCCAGTAAGAATATTTGAGATCTGTGAGTTCTGTCCTTCCTTGTTCAGCACTCATTTGTGTCACCATCAGTAGGGGTTTGGTGGTGTAGAGATGTAAACAAATGGAAGCTGGCCTGTGGCGCCTACGCCAGAGCGTGGAACAGTGTTAATATATTGAAAAGGATTGAAATGATTCTGGGATGTTCTTTGGCCACAATGGAATTAGATATCAGTAACAAAAGAAAAATCCCCAAATGTGGAAATGAAACAACATATTTCTAAATAATCTATGGATCAAAGAAGAAGTCACAGGAATTTAGGAAATATTTTGAACTCAGTATAACAATATAGCATCAGAATGTATGGGCTGCAGGTAAAGTAATGCTTTGAAGGAAATGTAGAGCTTTAAAATGTTAGAAAACTGAGGACTAAAATCACCAATCTAATGTCCATGTTAAGAAACTAGAAAAAGCATAATAATCAAAAATAAGTTTAAAAGAGGGGAAATATTAAAGAGCAACAATAAAGAAAGTTAACAAAATTCAAAGTTTATTCATTGGTAAGCTACTAAAATTGATAAACCCTTAGATAAACTGATCTAGAAGAACAGAAAGAGAACTCACAGTGCCACTATCAGGGAGAGAAAAGCAGAGTCCTGACAGATTGTATGGATATAAAAAGAGTTAAAGGACTATTATTAACTACCTTATTCTATTACCCTCTGACATTTAGATAAAATGACTAAATTTCCTCAGTGAGGGGCACTTACCCAAACTGACAAAACCTGAAACAAATTTTGCAGAACACTGTATCCTTTCAGACAATCGAATTTGTAATGAAAAACCTTTCTATAAAGAAAGCTCCACACTTACTGTTTAACTGGTGAATTCTATTAGTGACATGAAAAAGGAACAGCACCCATCTTACACAAACTCCTTCCCAGTTCTTTCTATGATACCAACATGACCATGATGCCAAAACCTGATGTTAAAAAAGAAGAAGAAAATATCCTAATATCCTTCACAAGAAAAGTCACAGAGTTTCTTTGAAGAATAGTAATAAATATAGCTAGGCATGGTGGTACAGGTACACACCTGTAATCCTAGTGACTTGGAAGGCTGAGGCAGGAGGATGACTTGAGCTAGTAGTTTGAGGCCAGCCTGGGTCTTATCCGAAGGGGAGAGAGAAAGAGAGGAAAAATCAGTCTAATCCACCAGTATAGGAAAAGGATATGAGTAAGTGAAATTTACATATGAGTAAGTGAAATTTTCTCCAATGATTCAAGGTTGATTTAACTTTTTTGATTTTTGGTAGTGCTGGGGGCTGATTCCAGGGTCCTGGGCAAGCAAAGCAAGTGCTCTGCTACTGAGCTGCATCCCTGGCCCAGATTTAATATTGGAAAAATGGCAATATAATTCACCACAGAGGAGAAAAACTAAATGATTATTTTATTAGATAACCCCACAGGGGGGGAAAAACCCACAGCTGATGAAATACAAAACATATTTTATGAGAAAAACTGAGCAAATCAGGAACAGAAAGGAGCTTCTTCAATCTGATAAAGGCCATATGTGAAAACTATGGCTAACGTCATGCCTGGTAAAAAATTGAAGTCCTCCCCTGCTGATCAGTAAGGAGGTAGGTTGTCCACTCACCACTTTTATTCACATTATACTAGAGGCCCTAGGCAATACTATAAAACAAGGAAGAAAAAAACAAAAAGCATACATATGGGAATGGAAGAAGTAAAATAAAATGTCTTTATTCTTGGATGACATAATCAAGTTAGTGTAAAATCCTGAGGCATCCACAAAAGAATTACAAGAACATTATAGGTGCATGTAGTGTAGTGTGAGGTCTTAGGACACATGATCAATATACTAAAATCTGTAGTATTTTAATATACTGACTAATAGTAATTAGAAAGGAAAACAAAATTCTATTTATACTAACATTTAAAAATACAAAATGCTTAGGAATAAATATAATGAGATATGTTTAATACTTAAATAGACCAAAAGCTACAAACTAAAAACTAGTACTAAAAGACATGAAGAGAGACCTAAATAAGTGGAAAGAGATGCCTTGCCTTAGGATCAGCAGACTCAGTATTGTTGAAGTACCCATTCTCTGGATCTAAAGATCCAGTGCAATCTCAATCATTATTCTAGTACCTTTTTTTTTTTTTTTTTTGTAGAAATGGACCCACTTTTTATATGGAAATACAAAGAACCTAGAAAATCCAAAGTAATCTTGAGTAAGATTTAGAGTACCTGGCTTAAATATTTTAATGCTGTAGTAATCAAGATGGAGGCAAATTTATTATTGCAACAGAATAGTCCAGAAACAGGCCTGTAGTTATATGGTCATTGATTTGTAATAGAAAGCTCATGTTTTCTTTGATATAAGGAGGCTGATTCATAGTAGGATAGGGAGTGGGAGCATGGGAGGAATAGACAAACTCTGGATAGGGCAGAGGGGTTGGAGGGGAAAGGAGGAAGCATTAATGAGGGGTTAATTAATGATGGTGGAATGTGGATGATCATTATTATCCAAGTACAGGTATGAAGAAACGAATTGGTGTGAATATTCTATGTATACAACCAGAGATATGAAAAATGGTGCTCTATTTGTATAATAAGAATTGTAATGCATTCCACTGTCATATATAAATAAAAAATAAATAAATAAATATCGAAAGCTGAGGTAATCCAATAGGAAAAGGAATGGAACCCAGGGAGGGGTGCTCTCCCACAGAGCTACATTCCCAGCCTTTTTTTATTGTTTATTTTGAGACCAAGTTTTGCTAAGTTGCCCAGACTGGCCTTCTGAGTAGCTGGGATTATAGGCATACACCACTGTGCCCAGCTACAGAACTCTTTTAACAAATGGGATTGGAACAACTAGTTATCATATTTTAAATGAACCTCAGCTCTTGTCTGTCTCAGAAATTAGAGGTGATTCATAGATATAAACATAAAAGCTATTCATATAAAATGGTGTTGAGGAAAATATAGAATACTTTGTCTTTGCATTTGGTAAAGTTTTTTAGATATAACAGCTATAAACAAAAAAAATAATTTCCTCAAGTTAAAACTTTATCATAAGGTACTATTAAAAAATGATTAGATAAGCCATGGACTGGATGGAAATATTTATCAGATGTATCTGTTGAAGAATTAGGATCTAGAAAATCTACCAAATGCTACAACTCAATAATAAAAAGACATCTAGTTACGAATGGGTAAAATATTTGGACATATACTTCAAAAAGAAGATATGTGGATAGCCAGGATGCACATGAAAATGTGCATAGCAACACAGAGAATTGTGAAATAAAACCATGATATACCACTGAACAGAAGGGCTATATTATTATAATTATTCTGATTGGGGGTAGAGCTAACAATTCTGATATTGTACTTTAGTAGTTTTAACTGGTACAAGCACTTTAAACAAAGCATCTGTCTTGTTATAAAGCCTAGTAAATTCTACTCTGAGTCCTCCACCCAGATGAAATGAAAGACATAATCACAAAATGATTATACAGATAGGTTCATAATAGCTTTACTCATAATATTCCAAAACAAGAATTAACATAGGTGTCCAACAGCAGGAGAGTAGATAAATTGGATTGTTCAGACAATGCCTGCCACTCTATAATAAAAGTTGATGCATTCTGATATACCTAACACGGATAAACTTCAGAAACACACTGAATACGAGAAGCTTTACACAAAAGAATTCAGACTGTATGGTTCCTTTTGTTTTGAGGTTTTGAAGCAGGTAAAATGATGAAAACATGATGAAAAACTCAGTCACCGATTGACTTTAAGGTGTTAGGGAGGAATTGGCTGGAAATAGGCACAAGAAATTTCTGAGTTGATAGTAATGTTAGAGTTTGGGTTATGAAGTTTTAGGCATTTGTTAAAACTTTTTAAACGACATTTAATATTTGGATATTTCACTCTTTTAAGTTTTTTCTCCAAAAAATCTCGTAAAGCAAATATTGAATTCCAAATAGTAATGATTGTGAATTGAAATGTATAGGAGCAAAGTGCACTATTGGCTTGAAACTTGGGAATGCTTTGCAAATTAAATGGGTTGATGAATGGAGAGAGGAATATATGATTGCATATAGATACGATGGAACAAATGGAGTCATTGTAGAGACTAGATGGTGGGTAGGTGTACGATGTTCATTTTATAATTCTTTTAACTTCTCTTTAAATATTTTTATAATAAAACATTGAAAAAATAAAATGAAATAGATATAACTAAAAGATATTATAAATTATTCATAGAGAATTGAATTACTGATTAGCCAATGATCAACAAGATGGCTATTACCCAGAGTAGCTGTCAGATTCACACGTTTCCCCAGCATTCCATCTTCTCCAGCTCTTGTACTATGGAATTTATCTGTTCATCCAGAACCTTTTAGTTCATACTTAAAAATGCCTGTAGAGAAGGAAATTCATAATTGCTTTTCTGTATCTCTTGAGCTTTTAGGATTTGTGTTTTCAGAAGCTTTTTACTGATAATTACCCTAAAAGAAATCAATTTTTCCCGAAAGAATTGCATTCTACTGGGCATGGTGGTGTATACCTATAATCCCAGCAGCTCAGGAGGCAGAGGCAGGATTATCACAAGTTCAATGCCCACCTCAGCAATTTAGTGAGGCCCTAAGTACTTAGTGAGACCCTGTCTCAAAAAAAAAAAAAAAAAACTTTAAAAAAGGGCTGGAGATGTGGCTCAGTAGTTAAGTGCCCCTGGGTTCAATCAATGTGGTTTTGGCAGTTTAGGCAGAAACAATTTTATTTATTTAGTGGACATTGGTTAGTGAGCATAAACTTACTAGACTTCGAATCAAGTTAACTTTTTTAAAAACTTGTCCTTGTGAGCACATAGGATAGGATAGAAATGTCATGTCTGCCTGTTTTAATGTTTGCCTATATAGCTATCAGATTTGACCAGGTTGGCCAGATACTATTAAATAAATGGTTTTGGATGATTTTATTTGTTTTATTGTTTTACTTCCTAAATATCTATTTTCTTACCTCTGTGTTTGAGACTCATCTCAAAAAAAAAAAAAAAAGTTCGTTAATTAGCTTCCCACTTCCCATACCTGTTCTCAGTGTCAGTGGCCTAAAAGAAAATAGCCTCTCCATCACACTTAAAAACTGAAAACTCCCAGAGGAACTAGGATGATTCCTTGACCTGAAAGGGAATATATTTTGAGTTCTAGAGAGTTCAGAAATAACAATTAGGTCCTGAGTTCTCAGCACTCAGAGTTAGCTGCATGTTTTCAAACACTGCCATGGATCCTTCTTTCCTGACTCAATTACCCAACACCCCCTCTCTTTCTTGTGACCTGCTTATCTCTGTCTGCCCAGTACTTCATCCAGTTCTTGTCAGAATTTGACTTGAAATCAAACATTTCCCAATTTAAATTCGTCTTATTTAATGAGTGCTGTAGCTGCTAGCGGCCCCTTTTCTCCATCTCATTTCTCATTTATGACCTGAGTTTGACCTCGTCCTTCATCTATGCCTTCCCTTGTCTGTGCCTCTGACTGTAACTCTGACTTTCACTCCACACCTGGAGAGTTCTGCTACCTCTCCCACCTCCTCCTGGGGTTAAGCAAGGCATAAAGGAGGGCAGTGGCCTCAGCAGGACCTCATGTTGGGACGCTTGAGACTTGGTGAGGTCCTCAGTCTTGTTAACTTTTCAGTGAGACGCTTCCCCTGTGAGTCTTAAACATTATCTTTAGGTAGATTTTTGTTTAGAACCTTTTTAAAAATTCAGAGAGGCCATTAATGAGGTTTCAATAGAATTCCTATATTCCCCTTTATCGATCAAACCTTTTAGAATTTACTGTAGTTATTATTCCCAGTCACCTGGTCCTTACAGAATTCTCAGTTAACAGAGATGAAAGAGAGAACTTTCCGAAGGCTGTAGCTATCCTGTTGTTCTCCCCTAGGATGGCTATGGATGGAGCACCAGAACTGAAGGTAGAAAGTGTGAACTCAAAGGCCAAGCTTCATGCTGCTCTTTACGAGAGAAAGCTCCTGTCTCTGGAGGTGCGAAAACGTAGAAGACGGAGTGGCAGATTGAGGGCAGTGAGGCCAAAATACCCAGGTACCTGCCTGTGAGCTTTCACCAAGCTATGTCATCTGGGTTGGCACTTAATGAGTCAGAACGTTCCTCTTCACATGCACTCATTTTTGTTGTATAGTACTTTTCTCTGAAACTTAATTTCAAAACGATTTTTAGACCCTTCCATTCAAAATATTTTTTTTTTGAATGGAAACAAATATTTCCATTCAAAGCATATAGCATTTGGCTTTTTCCCTTATTTTGCTATCATACAAATACCTAATACTTTAGAAATGATGTTACCCTGAGTTTAATGGAATTCTGATCAGTGCTCTTGGGTTTTTGATGATTAGGTAAGTCCAGTTCATCCTTTGAAATTGCAAAATGATATAGACAAAGGAGAATTTCCTTCTCTCTCAGATTCTCCCATGTTGTAGGGTCTATTTTTAATTCACTAATAGATTGATGTCCTCTTGCCCTTGCTGCTGCCCTCCTTATAGAGCCCCTGTATCAGGCAGCATGTTAGTCACTGGGCTTTCGTTGGGAAATAAAAAAGATATGGTTCTTCCAGAGCTTACAAGGCAGTGGAGGAAAGGACGATGAGTAAACACATAGGAAGCCATATTCCTTATGCCTCTGTGACAGGTGCTTTTCTAAAAACCCTAGCACACTACAGAGATCACTCAATTGGGTGGTTTTTGTTTTGTTTTGTTTTTGTGGGGAGGAGAGGGTTTCATTTATTGTTTAAACTGTTGATATGATGAGAAATATCAACTTGAATGAAGATAATCTCTTTTTACAATATATGCAATTTGAGAGTGACATGTGGTTGCTGCTAATTTTGTACCTTGTTTGTGGTTTTATTTAGAACTGGGTTTTTACTACAAAGATAAAAGGAAGGTATTGGGAGAGAGGAAAATTTAATCCTTTTTTCAGCAACATTAGTGATTCTTCGCATTTAGTGATTACCCAACCAGCTGAAATGAATGTTAAAACTGAGACAGAGAGTGAAGAGGAGGAAGAAGTGGCATTAGACAATGAAGATGAAGAGCAGGAAGCTTCCCAGGAGGAGTCTGCAGGGTCTCTTGGAGAAAATCAAGCCAAATATTCACCCTCATTGACTGTTATGGTAGAAAATTCATCCAAAGAAAATTCCATGAAGGTTCCCGAATGGAGTAATAAAGGTGAACAGGGCTGCAAAATTGACACTCAGGAGCCAGAGCCGAAGTTCAACCTGATGCAGATTCTTCAAGATAATGGAAACCTAAGGCAAGTGATTTTTTGTAATTATAATAGTGAAACTGATTGTGGCTCATTTGTGGTGTGTACCTGGTACTTTTTTTTTTTTTAATGGCCTGACAGTCATCTTTTATTCAATATTCACAGGAATCCTATGAACTAATGACTATGTTTGGACATTGCTATTGTGAAGGCATCCAGGCCTTAGGTTAAGCATCTTGTCCACAGTAGAGCTATGACACAAACTCAGGTCTTATTGGGCCAACAAATATTTGGTGGGCATTAGTCTCAGTTGCTAAGAGCACAAGGTTCCAGGCAAGTTGCTCAAGTAGTTCAGGGTTGAGTTTGGGAGACCCTTAAGGACCTGGGACTCTGTACCCTGGTAAGAACAAAGTGTTCTTAGGTCACAGAAAAAGGAATAATGGTGAGTCTTTGAAGGGCTAGAAAGGCTCATGGAGGAGGCAGACTACACCAGGCCCTGGCTGATGAATATAGGGCTTCAGGAAGCTTGGGCAGTACCAACTCCATACTGGAGCACTAGGTATAAGCACTAGTTATAAAAATAGAATTGTATAGGCATTCATTTGGTTCCTTAACAAATATTTCCTGAGCACCTGCCCTGTGCCAAGAGTTTTGCTAGGCATTACGATGGGGACCAAGACAGGCTTGTGGAGCTTGTGGTCTGGTCTGGTGGGGAATACTGGCAGTAAACAGGGACACAACAAGGCAGCTCCAAGTGGTGAGAAGTACTCTGAACATAGTATCTGGTGTCATGTTCAAGTGATTGGGTAGAGGCTGACTTAGATTGTGGTGGTCAGGCATGGAGAGGCAACCTTTTAGGTGAGTTTTGAATAATGAGGAGTCAGTCGTGAGAATGTCAAGTGGCAGAATACTTGAGGCAGAACAGGAAATACAAGGTCCTGAAATTGGGATGAGCATGATGTGTCTATGAGACACATACTAGAGTAGCAGAGAATTGTGTGGACAGAAGAACGTGGAGAGAAATGACACTAACGAGTGAATGATGGTAAATTCCAAAATTAAGAGGAGCCAGGGCTTTATTTTCTGGATATTTTTTAGACAGATGCATGATTGTCCAGTCTAATTTAAAAAAAAAATTGCAGTTGCATTTTGGGTCAATCAAAGGTCAGAGAGGTGAGTTTGGGACAGTTGGGATGTTCAGGACCAAGAAGATGAAGGCATTGACCAGAGCAGTGGCTGTAAGAATGGAGAGAATGGGATGGGCTTAGTGGGATTTCATGGTTCAAGTGACAATCTCTAAGTGTTCACATTTGTCAACCTGTTGATGCCATTGGTCATCATAAGGGATGTAGGAGTTATTTCATAAAGAAATAATGGGTTTTATTTAAGACAGAGTGAAGACAGTGAAAGTACAGCTTTGTAGGTCAAGGCCTTCCAAGCGGGTGGAATTGGCAGTTCTGTAATTCAGCAAGGAGAAAAGCAAGAGCATGGGGCCCTGGGGAACACCACTGTTTAATGAGGAAGTCAGTAAAAAGACCTAGAATTAGAGAGGCATATATGTGGGAGGGAGTAGTACATAGAAAAGCTCTAAGAGGAGATTTGGGGCCTTTACAATGCCTTTAACCACTCAAGTAGTGATAAAGAGTGAAAATAGACTCCTAGATTTGTGAGCTGAAGAACCAAGAAAATAGTGTGAAGGAACTTTTTCAAAGGGCTTGGCAATGAGAGGGAGGTAAGACTGCATCAGGGAGGAACCAGCTAAGAGAAAGCGATATTCTTTGTAAAAGAGGGATTCTGGAGCTTATTAGTAGATTAAGGGGAGGGGTTTGATGGACAGGATTAGAGATGTGGAAATGGATGTATTGGCCGAGAAGGATCCTAAAGCAATGTAGAAAGAGGCTGGGAAGGGGTATCTCTTTCTAAAAGTCGGAAGAAGAGGACTGTGGGAAGAGGATAATAGGTAGACACTAAAGAGCAGCGAGGTGTTGGTGTTTTTGCATGATGGCCTTTATTTTCTAGTTAGAGGCCAGCGCTCATACTGAGAGGCGGGAGGGTGACATTGGCATGCAAAGGCATAGATTTCAGATTTGTACCAGAGTCATGGAGAATGAGAATAGGTCATTCGTGAGCTCAGGTCTTATGAACTCAATCAGTATACCCAGACACTGGCTTTTAGTGCTGCCAACTGATTATGTGATCATAGGCAAGTCAAAGAGCTTCTGTAGGCCTCAGTTTCCTTTCCTGTCAAGCCAAGGTGTGGGGTTAGACAACGGTTTTTCCAACTGCTTTCTGGAGGGGAAAAAAAAGATTCCAGTGAATTGAAAATAGAACATCTGAAAACCACTGGCCTGTATCCTGAGCTCCCTTCCAGCAATAACATTTTCCTTAGCTGTTATAGAAATAAATTACTTCTTCATAAATCTTAGGGATCTCATTTTCAACAAGTAAACTGTTAAAATTGCAGGGTGCATTTGTGTAGATGAGCAGATTTTAGACTGTGTTCCCCAACGCTTCTTGTTGTCCTGTGGGGCATCTCAGTAGCTGGTGAGAAGTCTGGGGAGGGGCAAAGTCAAGGGCTTGAGACTGCAGGCACAGCCTCCTTGTTGTGCGTTTTATATGCTGAGCATCTATACAACCTGTTGGGTTTTAAAAGTAAGTTCCTTTTACTTTAAATCCTTCTGGTTTTCATTCTTTCTTTTTTGTTGGAGTGGGGTGTATGCTGCAAGTGACTAGCTGATCAACAACTTTGAGACAATCTTAGAATTAACATTCCAGGCATCTCTTCAGTAAGGTTTATAGAAATGAAAATCTCAGTACTTTTCCATTTGACTTGCAACAAAACAACGATCGAAATACCAACTTATGAGCAATAATTCCCTCTCCAAAAGACCTTCATGCTTTAATATAAAGGGACCAATCGATGCAGTTGAGTATTCTGCTACATTTGGAGATGTCTAAAACACTTTTTTGCTTATTATGTTACATGTGAATTTGTTTCCCAAAGCGAACAATCTTTTTAATGTATTTTGACTTGAAAGTCATTTGTTATGGAGGTAAAGCTTATGGAGATGGCTGAGGGGGAAATAGTAGATATACTTTCTAGGTGAACAAGAATATAATTGTTGAAAACATTTGGAAATACAAATTTATTGTTTCAGATTCATGTTGTGCTCCCATAAATTATCCCTGGCAGTAACAGAGATTTGACCTTATTTATATATATAGTCCATGTTCTGAAGCTCTTATGTATGAAACTCTAAAGAGCAAATGGACACCCAGCCCAACTCCCTTGCCCTGGAATCCTGCAAAGACACACAGAACCTAGACCCGGGCCCTCGTGGGATTTCCAGTTTGCTCTGGACAAACCCTTCATCCTAATCTTGGGGGACAGTGAGTAGAAAGCATCCAGTGACTGCATGTGTGAGGATTGTAAACAGAGTTTGTGTTGGGCCCTAATCATCGCTGATGTAATTTTGGCTACAGTGCCAGAAGGCCGATCAGCTGAAGTAACCAAAATCTTGCCTGAAAGAAAACAGATCTGCCACAGTTAACAGCTGAAGTGAAAATCATCACTGTCTCCCCAGTACCTCTGTCTTTCCTGCTATAGCTTGATCACATTCCCTTGTCTAGGCAGAAGAAGGATGGATTCTTCAGCAAAGTTGCTGTGGTGCTTGTCACTATTGCTGAGGCTTTCTTTTCCCTCACTGAACATCTGGGCTTGTCCCAGCCCATTGGTTTATCTATGCCAAACTCTGTTGGACCTCATTCATTTGTTCTGGGCTCTAGCCACTCCTGTCTTGTACTTGAGAAAAGCATGACCTTAAAATATGGTCTGAAAAGTTCCTTTTGTAGGATTTATCAATTTCCTGTTTCAGAGGTTTAGCACATGAGAAATCTTAGTTGGCATAACAAAATCCATACTTTTGTACTCTCTGATAAATATGTCCTCAAGGGCCTCCAATGCAAAAAGAATCAGTAACAAACACACACACACACATACACACCAAAAACAAAAAACAAACAAACAAACAAAAACACAAAACCGTATTACAGTGTTTCTTGTGAGGATTCAGTACTTTTGTCCAGTCTCCCAAGAAAGGTGTTAAAAAGTTCAAATAGCCGGCTGCGGTGGCACACACCTGTAATCCCAGCAGTCGGGAGGCTGAGAGAATGGCTAGTTCAAAGCCAGCCTCAGCAACAGCAAGTAAGACCCTATCTCTAAATAAAATACAAAATAGGGCTGGGGATGTGGCCAAGTGCCCCTGAGTTCAATTCCCAGTACCCCCCCACCCTGAAAAAAGAAAAGATCAAATAGACAACACGATGAGTAGAAAATCTGTTTTTTTCTGTTCTTGTTGCCCCCCACCCCATACCAGTAGTGAGAGTATAAATAGGATTCTCTATCTCTGATCCTTTTAATAAGAAAAAAAAATTAAACTTCATGTATTGCTTAGAACTGGGGCTCTTTATTTAATATATGATGGCTTTATATTTCTTAGCCATCCTAATGGAAGGATCATCAAAGGCCACTTTGAGAGAGGCAGGTACACATTTGGTAGAATTACCATTCTGTCTCATAACCGTGTGTTGTTTTGGATTTCTGTAGCAAAGTGCAGGCCCGAATAGCATTCTCTGCCTATCTCCAGCATGTTCAAGTTCGCCTGACGAAGGACAGTGGAGGTCAGACCCTCAGTGCCAGTTGGGCTGCCAAAGAGGATGAACAGATGGTGAGGCTCTTCCCCTTAGAACCTTCAACTCTCCCTTTCTCTTTTGTTTTTATTTTCCCTTCTCCTCCTTTCCTTTTTTCCTCCTCCCTTCCCCCCTTTTCTCTTCTGTATATTCTTCTGGTGGAAGAATTATTGCACAGTAAAGTTTCTAGATTACTCTTACTTTAATGTGATGTGACACAAATCTTTGACCTGGATCCAGGTTCATTATGCTAGTTAGGGAGCGCATTGATTTATTTCATTTGGAAATGGAAATTGATTGATCCTTTGATGTTAAGGCCTGTGTAAAACCCTCAAAGAGAATAACAATTTACTGTCTTATCTCAAACATCCTCATGTTTTATTGACTCTGAGATGGGCATGGTCATCCCCATTTTATAGGCGAGGAAACAGAGACTTTCAGAGAAGCAAGGTCTGTTGTTCCCCAGCTTCTGTTTGGTGGACTGGAACAACTTGGGCCCAGGTGTTACACCTGCACCTGCCTTGATCTTGCACTTTTTCCAGGTGTCATAGACTATTTGTTTTTTTGTCCTTAAGAGTCACCTGAGCTCTTTGAAAGTCACCACCTTGTCATAGTCCCTCAGAACACACTGTCCTCTAACTTAACGTTTTTTCTTTATTAATTGTACCTTTATAAAATTCTTGGTTTTCTGAAATCAACCTTGTGTGGTAATTTTGACTGTATACCAATCACTTGAACATGTTAGGGTTTAACATTCTAGGAAGGCTTTGTTGTTGTTGTTGCTGTTGTTGTTGTTGGATCACAGTGATAGGGAACTTAAAACTCTTTGGTAAGGCCAGAACTTACAAAAGAAGCCACAGTCCTTACATAGCATTTTTTACAACAGGGATCTGTCACCAAAAAGAGAGGGGCCTTTAAGTCTGAGAAAGTTGCATCCTTTATCCCTCTCAGTGGTGACCCTACTCTAATTTTGAGTCTTTCACATACAAAAGGCAAGTCTTTATGTGAGGCTTGTTATAAAAACATGTTGGTTATTCCAGAAAACAACTTGTTAATTTCAAGTAGCCAGTACAACCCAGAGATAAAAACTTGTGTGTTGTGAATAATCCTTCAACCATCAGTGGAAAATGTTAGCTCTGCTCTTTCCAAGTGGAAAATTGAGACTGCCTTTTTGAGAGTCAATTTGTCTGCTCCACTGTGAAAAAATAATGTTTTAATATAGCAACTTAAACCACCCTATAGTAAAGACAGCAGAGTGGAACTGTGAAATCCAACCCTCTGGTTATGAGACTGTTCACTTAGTGCTGGAGTCAATTGGCACGGAAGGACAATGAACCAAAATCAAATTCAAGAAGAAAAGAACATAGCTTGAAAATAAGTAACTGCTGAAATGCTGGCTTAGAGTCACTCAGGATTTCTATGAGGCTTTCTATATGAATATGTAAATTCACCACTACAAATTTAACACGAGCTCTGTGATGTCTTTCTTGAAAATATATCCAGAGAGCAAACCCAGACTTATTGTGACACTTGTGACCGTGGTTTTGGTTATGAGGAAGGTAGTTGTAGAGCTGCCCTCTCTGGTCTTGAATTAGGTTTGAGATTCTTTATCTCATAACTCACAGAAGGCCCATCATTTGAAAGCCATTTTATTGTGTTGATGGGGCAACATCCTCTTTCAGGCTCTTGCTCCTGTAAAGTCTCTGAAGCATTTGCAATGTTCTGAGTTATCTGATTAGTATCTGTTCAGATTTCAATCCTTTGCCTGCATCTTAAGTGTGATGTATTCTTTCTTTCCCTTCAGGACTTTCTACTGTACCTGCCTTGGCAATCCCCAATTCTGGAAGCTCCCTTATATTTGGGGAGGGATAAAAAGGTCATTACCTTCAAACTACTATATCTTTATCACGAAACTTTTTAAATCAGTAGCGTCTGCTGTGTACCCCTTTCCTTCATTATTGGTGCACATCAGCGTGTCTTCCTTCCCTCTTTACTGGAAGATGTCCTCTCAAAGCTACCCGGAAGTGGCCAGATCAGGGGTTTGTCTTGGTCATGGTCCTTTCCAGTTCCAGACTTCAGGAAGTCCTGACAGGGACCCTTTTCTCCCTTGGCCCTCATGGCATTTTCTCCTGTGTTTCTTTCTGTTCTAACATTTTCCACTTCCATTCTTTCTCCTCTTTTTCTGTCTCTAAGTGTGACAATTTCTATTCTTTTTAAATTTTTTTTATTTTTTGTAGTTGTAGATGTACAGAATGCCTTTATTTTATTTGTTTATTTTTTATGTGGTGCCGAGGATTGAACCCAGTGCCTCATGCATGCCAGGCAAGCACTCTGCCACTAAGCCACACCCCCAGCCCTCTATGTTCTTTTTCTGCTTTCTCATCTTTGATGATTTCGTCTGCTCCTAGACTGACTTTGAATGTTGCCTTCCCTCAATAGCTCCATTTGGGCTGGGGATGTGGTAGCGAGCTCGCCTGGCATGCATGCAGCCTGGGTTCGATCCTCAGCACCACATACAAACAAAGATGTTGTGTCCGCCAATAACTAAAAAATAAATATTAAAAAAATTCTCTCTCTCTCTCTCTCTCTCTCTCTCTCTCTTTTAAAAAAAAAAAAGCTCCATTTGATCACCTTAATAGAAGTGAGATCTTCCCTTTGGGTTTATCATAGGACCATTTATAAATGTAATTTAACAACTACTACCTTTTTGCACATTTGATTTTCTGATTGTTAACTTATTGAGTGAAGAAAATAAGAGTCTTTTGTTTTGCCTTCTGTATCCTTCTTAAACCTAACATGTTTGCTCTGGATCTTGTTCGTCAGGATGTATAACAGACCTCTTCTGACATCTCTATTGTCTAATCCCATCATAGCATGTCTTCTGTTGATTAACACAAGCCCTACTTTTTTCCTTCCCTATTTTTTACTTTATAGGAGTTGGTTGTTCGTTTCCTTAAACGAGCATCAAGTAACCTGCAGCATTCACTGAGGATGGTATTACCTAGTCGACGATTGGCACTTCTAGAGCGGAGAAGAATCCTCGCCCACCAACTAGGTGACTTTATCATTGTGTACAACAAGGTAAGTTATTAGTCTGGGGGTCTTCTGCATTGAGTTGTAACACATCATCAGTCACACGCTGTACACCTCTGTCCAGCTTCTGTTCTGTGGCCCCATCAACCCTGTTGCCTTGCTGTGAGGGGGAGAGGAATCCCACACTTTAACCTGGTTGGGTTGAAAAGCTACTTATTATTTCTGAAAACCCAGTGGCCATAGTTAACACTTATCAGAAGTTCCATTCCTTTTGAGCTCTGTCATACCCGAGATGAATTCTGACATATGTGCATCTGTATTATTGCTATTAGTCTGTAGACAATGGTAAGTTGACTCAAGAAAGAGAGAATTGGAACTGTGAATTTAATATGATGACATATTTTTTTCAGAGAGTTAGCTTTTCTTCTCCAAAACATTTTACAACCAAGCCTAAGAAATACACTATTTAATTGTGATTTTTGCAAAGTGTCTTATATCCAACAGCCTCAGAATATATTAAAAATATTACTCGGGAGTGAAAAAGGTAAAGGTTATATAGTTCAGGTTACAGAAGGAAGAACTGAGGCCTAAAAAAATGTAACTGAGTTTTCTAAAGTTACATGTAATTCTAGAAGACTGTCAACCCTCCATACCCATATACCCAAGTTACTCCAGCTCTACTGAAAATTCTGTTGTATCTTGCATGAATAAAGAATTTATTCAAGTTGAGCTGTGCATGGTGGCATATGCCTATAATCCCAGTTGCCTCAATGTTTGAAGCATGAGGATCGCAAGTTTGAGGCCAGCCTTAGCAATTTAGCAAGACTCCTATGCCACTTAGTGAGACCTTTTTTCAAAATAGAAAGGGCTGGGGTTTTAACTTACTGGTAGAGCACTTTTCTGGAATGCACAAGGCCCTGAGTTTGATGCATAGCACCAGTTGGGGTCGGGGAGGGAGAATTCATTATTTTGGAAGTTGGTGTAAGAGAATCTTCCAAGACATCTTTCCTGTCCAAATTGGAACAAAATACTGTGTCTCTGCAATGCCACAATATTGTTAAAGCCACGTGTCTGATCACAGATGTTACTAAGTTCCTATCAAAAGCTCTTTTCATAACAGGCCATACAAATAGAAAGTACAACCATGGTAAAAATTTACATTTATTCAGCAACTCTTACTTGGGAATTTCAAAACATTTCATGAAATAATGACCAAGAGTAATATATCAAGTTTATAGGTGGCAAAAGTACATGGAAGAATAAAAAGTGTTTACTATAAGGAACAATTAACCCAAGCAATGAAACCACATGACAAAGTGTGCATTTATCAGGAGTCAGTTTTATCTTGTTGTTTTTCTGTGGGGTTGGGCTTGGATAGGAAACAGAACAAATGGCTGAAAAGAAATCAAAGAAGAAACTTGAAGAAGAGGAGGAAGATGGGGTGAATACAGAAAACTTTCAGGATTTCATCAGACGAGCAAGGTAGAAGACACTTTTGATTAATAAAAGCCACCCTTATTCTTTCTTCCATACTGTTCATTGAATACCCCCAAATTCCCTTGTTTCTGACACACAGATATGAATGAAGTCACTCTCAGAAGGAGCAGAAATTTCATAGGCTTAGCCTTTCCCTATCTCAGCCAATTACATTGCTGTTGTCCTGGTTTCAGTTATCAAAACACTGCTCTGAGTGTCTGGGCTGTAGATCTAGACAGTTTTTAAAGTACATACCACTAAAAGTACTGAGAGAAGCTTTTGGAAATTTGAAGTTAGAGCCTTTTAGTGTTCTCTGGGTCTGACTTTGTCCCTGATGTACTGATATGTAGAGATGGCCAAATTTTGCTTATATTGAGTGGATTAAGAGTTTTTCACCTCTGTGATAGTTACACCTAAATTATATACAACAGAACAAGTTTCTCCTGCTTAAGATTAACCTTTAGGAATTGAAAGTCTCAGTATTCAAATCTGTCTTGATACAAATCAGCCAGGCCATTTTGTCCTTTGACATTATTTCCAAAGGATGAGATAATAAAAGCACATAGTTTTAAATTTCGTAAAAGCTCATACTGGAGTACCTTTTCTAACTAGGAAGTTGTGCAGACTAAAAAAATGCAAGGTTAGAGCAACTGACTGCACACCCCATTAATTAGGCTCCAATTATCAAATCACAGTCCGGAGAAAAAATCAGTAGAAAATCAGCTCTCTCCGTGTCAGTCCCTAGCACAGAATGACTTTTGTGTAATATCTTGTATAGGCCTCACTGTAGCCTCCATGCCATGCTCTTAAACATAGCAAACAAATAGGTCATTTTGTGGCCGTTCTATAATTAATATTTGCTACTTCTTTGCAGTTTTGGGGTTTTGGGTAAAACAGGTATAGAAATAAAGCAAAAAACAGTTTTTTTACATCAACATTATAAAAATAGAATAGAGTAAGTCCAGGGAATAGCTCTATTTTTAAAGCTAAAAGATTCATTTCTGGATCCTCCTCAGGGTCTTCAAAAATCCCTAAAATATAAAAGAGAAGAAAATCCAAACTTTTAAAAAATGATGTGTATTTCCCTAGCAGAACTATTGGATATTAAAAATGAATCATATATACTGTTAACTAATGTAGATTTGGAAAGGAAATAAATGAGATTATATTTACTATTGATTGTGGATTGAGCATTGATTACTGGAAAATATGTGGTAGTGTCAGTTCTTCTTTTATTGGGTTTTTGCAAGTATGCGGATACTTTTGTCAGGACTGATAATTTCAAATGCCAGGCAGCAGAGGATAAGACAGGAATGGTGCAGCTTGTTGTTCAACCAACTATATCCTTTGCCTATTTTGTGAAGGGCCAAATAAAATACACTGCCAGGCAAAGGCAGTGTATTTTACACTGTTTGCCGCCCGTTTTAGCTCGTTGGTAGTCACTTGAAGTACTTACCTTGTAGGCACCAGGCTACTATGGAAACCTTGGGGTTTATGCTGAGATTCATAGAAATGTTTTCCTATGTATGTTCTTATTGGTGTATTGGAATGTAGGTCCTTTGTAATAATGCAAGCATGCTTTGCTGATTTGAGGACCAGCTATAGAACATAGTTTTCAGGAAAAAGAAAAGAAAAGGGCCATCCAGAAGCTGCTACAGAAGTTACCAAATTCATGCATGTATATCTTGACTGGATAGGCCTCATGTTTCTTTATAATAATTTCCATTTTATGGATGTTCATATAATTTTAGCAATTCTAAGTGACCTTAGAGACCATGTATTTGAGTCTCCTGCATCATACAAATGGTTAGAGAGTCCTACTGTGGTCACACTGGTGGGTCCTCCTTAATTCTGACATAGGCAATTAAAATGATAAGTAGCTCCTTCAGTAAAGATGCATCAGTTATCTAGAAATTGGATAGGCAACCCAAAGGGCCAGATAATGAATGTTTCAGACTCCATAGCTATGAATAGTATTTTTCTCATATTCTTTTAAATACATATATACATATATATGTGTTTTATTTATATGTATAAATATATAAACTTATTCACTGGTGGCCCGTAGTCTAAAGTTTGGTGACTCCTGACCAAGAGCATGGTTGTCTAGTAAACCTTTCCATGGTGACTTCTGAGCACTTGAAGTGTGACTAGTGTAATTCAGAAAAAAATCTTTATTTATCTAATTTTAATTAAGTTTAAATGTCCCATATGACTAGTGGTTGCCATTGCAGATAGTACAGATCTAGAAAATTCCATGTGGGATGAATAAAACCTTACCACACTTTATATTTTTTAGATTGGCTTCATTTATATTTCTTTTTTAACCATCTATTAATGACATATTTTCAGCTTGTGCTTTTTGTTTTTCCTTCTCCAGTTTATTCTGTTTCCATAATAAAATCTACTGGAAAGATTTTTCAGAACAGCTTCCTGTGCTGACCAAACTTTTTCTCATTGCAGTGAGGCTGAATTGGAGGAGGTATTGACTTTTTATACCCAAAAAAACAAGTCTGCAAGTGTCTTCCTGGGGACCCACACTAAAACTTCTAAGAACAGCAGCAGTTATTCAGATAGTGGGGCAAAAGGTGGTAAGTGTGCTGGTTGTTGAATGAAAAATGAGAATAGGTGAAAAAGTGGAGGTGCAGGGGAGCGGAGAGAATGATGGGCTGGCTGAGCATCCCGGGGTGAAACTGCAGCACGGGGCTGGAGCAGGAGATGGGCTGCAGCACTTCCTGTCCTCAGAGCAGAAGACGGGCATGGTCTGGGTTTTTTGTTTCTTTCATGATAATTAATAGCAGAGAGCTTTTCAGGAAATGCTAATAATAGCTAGCTAACATTTAGTGAATACTTATCTTACAATCTGTTGGACATGGTCTTATTTTTTACTTCCTAAAACCACATGGAGTAGGTCTTGTTTTTAAACTTCTTGATGCATAAGAAAATGAGCTAAAAGAACCAAGTAAAACTTCACCACAGAGACAGGACTTAGACCCCTCGTCTGCCTGACTCCAAGTTTGTGCCTTCAGTGTGCACTCTTTGCCTCTCCTAAGGCTTGTTTCTCATTCTTGTCAGGTGAGACCCCCTCAACACCACTGGCATTTGGGGTAGGAGGATTTTTTGTTGTGTGGGGCTGTTCTGTACCTGGTGAGATGTCTGATGTCATTGGTCCCAACCCCAAATGCCATTGGCTTTCCCTCAGGCATTGATAATTCAGAATTTTCTCACCTGCTTCTAAAAGTTCTCCCTGCTGAGGTACTCTGTGATTGGGATTTTAAAATCAAATGTGGACCAACTCTCTTGCTCACATCATCATGATCAAAACATGCAGTTTCATTCTGTGATAAACAATGCTCTGTGCTTTAAAGATTCTTTTAAACCTAGGTGTTAGTGTAAGGCATATGAACAAACATAATAATTTTGATAGTGTTTTAAGTACCAGATGCAAATTGTTGGACACTTCCTCCCTGCTCTTACGGCTATCATAATCTGGTGTGGAAGTAGCCAGGAAAGTTGGTCGTTTCCAATGTGGAATGAAGCTGGGAATGGTAATACCAGCTACAAGTTCAAGGCCAGCATAGGCAATTCAGCCCATGTCTGTCTCAAAAAAATGAAAAGGACTGGGGATGTAGCTCAGTGGTAGAGCACCTATGAGTTTAACCATCATACCACCACCCCTCCCCAAAAAATTGTGAAATGAATTTTCCCAAAGAAACAATGTTAGTGGGTTTTTCCTTTTGATTGGTTGGTTGTTTACTCATGGTAGGCAAGCCCTTTACTACTGAATTACACCTTCAACCCTGTGTTTTAAAAGCTGATTGGTTCATAAGCTAATCCAGAAAAGCCTGTTTAACTCACTGCATAATGGAATTATATCACTAGCAGCCCTTCTGAGCACAGCCTCTTTGAGCTTTCCCAATTTCATATTCGTCTGTTGATTCATTCCTTGTGTACATTTTTACTGAGCAAGTGTCATGTGTTAGGCACTTTGGTAGTTGCCAGCAGTATAATGACCAGAACCATCACAGTCCCATTCACCACAGTCTGGTGAATGGAAGTCAATGACAAGCTACTAGAAAGTTGATGAGAGCTCTGAAAAGCTCCTATAACAACAGTGTTGTGGAAGGAAGGCCAAGGAATGCTCATAATAAGGTCCACTAAGGAGGTGGGGCCCACATGGGCACTGACCCCTCCCCTGGCAGTAATGGGGCAGCCCTCACAGCGTGGCCTGGCAGCACCCACGTATACAGATGGGTCATTTGAGATTCTAAGGTTCATTTATTAATGACTATGTTTACAAAGACTGTCTATACCTGTCTGTACCTGTTAAGAATGTCTAGAGGTACAGGAGGAAGGCCTCAGTCAAGAAAATAACATTTGAGCCCAGTAATCATAATGACTGTAATCGTAATGACTCGGGAGGCTGAGGCAGGAGGATCACAAGTTCAAAGCCAGCTTCAGCAAAGGTGATACTATTTTGTATAGGGCTGAGAATGTGTCTCAGTGACCAAGTGCTCCTGCGTTCAATTCCCAGTACCCAAAAGAAAGAAAATAACATTTGATAGTGTGGTAACCAGACTCATGCAAACAAGAATAGTGACAGAATTACCATCACTGGTGGTATTAGAGAGGACTGAATTCATAAGTCTTTATCTTTTCACTCTGAAAGTTTGTTTGTTTGTATATTTTTGTGGTAGTGGGATTGAACCCAGGGCCTTTGTGCATGCTAGGCAAGCACTGTACCACTGAGTCACATCCTCAGCCTTTTCTAAATTTTATTTTGAGACAGGGTCTCATTAAGTTGCCCAGACTGGTCTGAAACTTGCAATCCTTCTGCCTTTGCCTCCACAGTAACTGGAATTATAGGGATGTACCATGTCCCAGCTTAAATCTTTGTATGAGCGTCACTCTTTTTTTTTTTTTTTTAATATCTTTATTTATTTATTTTTATGTGGTGCTGAGAATCGAACCCAGTGCCTCACATGTGGGAGGCAGGCGCTCTATCACTAAGCTACAGCCCCAGCCCCTGAACTTCACTCTTGACAAAAATTTTGAATATTTCCCCAAGTATATTATTAGCTCTGTTCTGTTTCAAAATTCTGTAGTAGAGAAAAACTAATTTGTTCCAGTGGTAACATGAGTGATTTTGGTATTCAGTATACTGATCAACCTATCTTAAATAAAATTGAGGCATTGACCTTAAAATATAGAGTCATTGTATTCTCTTGGTAGTATGCCAGCACATAATGGGGCTATTCTTTGTGTTTCATGGTAGCTGCCCCACTCCTTACATACTGTGATCTCTTGGCTTCTTTGGCACTACCAACCAAATTGGTCTCTTATATCTCTAATCTAAATTCCTGACAGAGGCATCTGACTGCCCTGACTTATTTTCTTTTCTGGGCATGTCCTACTTGTTGGCAACCCATGGATGGCTGCTCTAGGTTTAAGTATCTTTCCCTGGTTCAGTGAGGCAGAACTGGGGTTGGCAACATCTGGGGATCATTGCATTGGTTACCCACTCAGCAGCACTCGGGGAGTCCATCTTTGGAAAAGTGTGGCTTGATGTACAGTGTCTAACAGTATGGATCAGTACTTGGGTTACATTTTTGGAAACAAAATTTTGTTATAATGGATTAGTAAGAGAGCCTAAGTTCAGTATTTTTTCTATTTCTTCTTTCAGATCACCCTGAGACAATACAAGAAGTGAAAATAAAGCAACCCAAACAGCAACAGGCAACAGAAATTCACTCTGATAAATTATCTCGTGAGTGATTTCAAACCTATATAGATTTGCTCTGATAAATTTCAAAAAGAAAGAGTCTTCAAATATTAAATGCTTCTAAAGCATGAGAATTACCCCTGAGAAGTCCTTTCCTTTGTTCTTCCTTTTCCCCTAGAATTTTTCTCTCAGATACACTATAACCTATTTTCCTTCCCAGGAATTTTTTTTTCATTTTCTTTAGAATTCTAAGCACTTTGTTTTCTCCTAGAAGGGTGAAGAGGGAGAGGAATTAGCCATTGCTTGTAGGAGCTTTGTCCTGCTGTCCTAATGTTTGTAAAACATGCCTGCTCTGCTTTGTGGAGGTATTCCCAACTCCAGTTTTTAGAAAGGACCAAAAATAAACTAAAATGTCTCTTGCTAGGTTGACTCTGGTAGGCAAAATCCATTAATGTCTGTATTTTTCATGGTTTCTGTTTCATGCTAAGATTATTCTGATGTTTTAAAAATGTTTATCTTTTATAGAGATGATATGTTCATTTTTTCCTAAAATGATCTGTTTTGTTTTGTTTTTGTTTTTGTTTTAATAGGATTTACCACTTCAGCAGAAAAAGAGGCTAAATTAGTCTATACCAATTGTACCTCTACTTCTTTCTCTGGTCCTGCTGCTACTCTTCTGCAGAAAATTCCCAACACCCATCTGTCATCTATTATGACAACCTCTGCCCTCTCGCCAGGGCCTGGCCACCATTCTGCTTTATCTCACATTCCTCAAGCCATCCCCACCATGCCTCATCAGCCAGCAATTTTACTGAGCCCAGTCCCTGACAATGCTTCTTCCTCCATACATCCTGGGACACAGAACATACCAAGCCCCGCTGGCCTGCCACGCTGTCGATCAGGCAGTTACACCATTGGCCCCTTTTCCTCTTTCCAAAGCGCTGCACACATCTATAGCCAGAAACTGTCTCGTCCCTCCTCAGCAAAGGCAGGTGAGTGAGAAAATGAAAGGCAGCCTACAATGCCAGCTCCCCAGCCCCCACGGAGAAAGAATGCCGTCTCTTCCCTTTGCCTTTTCTTGAAAGGTAAAGGGACACACGCTAAATTGTTGTGCTGTGACTAAAGAAAAGTCTTGCATTTTGTCCACTAGCATTCAGTCACTGATAGAAAAATGAAACAGGACTTCTTTTAGGTATTGCTGAAAAAGAGATAAGTCAAGTCTAGTCCAGAAGTTTCCTACACGGATAATCTTAGACCTGTGAATGTGCTATATGCATTTTTTTTTTGATTCAGGTAGTTATTCCTGACATGAGACAAATTAACCCTTTTTTTTTCAATGCACTTAAAGTCAGGAATGAACCAAATAAATACCCTCTTTTAAGAATTCTTTGGTTTGTAGCGTCAATGAAGTAGACCCAGCTTATCAGTCAAGTTTCTCCCTCCTATTTTTTTTTTTTAATCAAACCCAGGACCTCATGCATACCAGGAAACACTACCACTGAGCTACATCCCCAGCCCACTCATTTTTAAATAACTTTATTGAGATATAATTCATATTTACAAAATTTGCCCTTTTGAAAAAGTGTACAACTCAGTGGGTTTTTTTTTTTTTAATCATATTCACAGAGTAGTGCAACGACACCATTTTCTAATTTTCGAGCATTTTCATCATCCCTAGAAGAAACTTCATACCTATTAGCAGTCACTATCTACTTCCTCCTTCTGCCAGCCCCTAGCAGCCACTGATCTACTTTCTATTTCTACAGATTTGTCTGTTCTGGACAATTCAGATAAGTGGAATCGTGCTATAGGTAGTCATTGGTTTCTTTTCACCTGTCATGCTTTCAAACTTCCTCTGTGTTATAGTATGTATTGCGCTTCATTCCTTTTTGTAGCTGAATAATATTCCATTGTATGGATATACTATATTTTGCTTATCCATTTGTCACTTGATGTGCATTTGATTTTCTCTTTTTTTTCCCACTTTTTGGCCATTATGAGTAACAGTCGTGTATACATTTTTATGTGGATATATGTTTTTATAATCTTGGTTATATAGCTAGGATGGAATTGGTGAGTCATATAATAACTTTATGGTTCCTCCTTTTGAGGAACTAACAAACTCTTTTTCAGTGTCTGTACCATTTTACTACTCCCAATGTATGAGGAGATCTAAGTCAAGTTTCCCCCTCTCTATATCTTTGCTGACATTTAATGTCTTTTTAATTTCATCCATCTCTTTGTGTGTGTGTTGGGGGGCGGGGTTATGATTTCCATTTCCCTCATTGCTGATGTTTTAAGCATCTTTTCATATGCTTTTTGGGTATTTGTAAATCTTCTTGAGAGAAATGTCTTTGCCCATTTTTAAGTTGAGATGTGCATTCTTTTGTTGAGTCATAAGTGTGCTTTATGCATTCTTTATACAAGTCCTTTATCAGGTAAATGATTTAGAAATATTATTTAACCCAATCTGTTAGTTGTCTTTTTGCTTTCTTGAAGCACAAACGTTTTAAGTTTGGAGGAAGTCAAATATTTTGCTTTGTTTTGTTTTGTTTTCCTTTCAGTTGTGTTTTTGTTGTCATATCTGAAAAGGTATCTTCTAACCCAAGGTCACAAAGATTTCTTTGTATTTTTTTCTAAGAGTTTTATAGGTTAGATTCATACATTTAGAGCTTTTATCCATCTTTAGTTAATTTTTATGTATAGTTTGACATATGGGGATCCAGCTTCGTTCTTTCGCATGTGCATATGCAGTTGTTTTAGCACCATTTGTTGAAAAGAGTATTGATTGTTTCTCCCATTGGATTTTCTTGGCACTCTCATCAAAAAAATCAAATGAAGATTTATTTTGGAGTCTCAATTTCTGTCTATGCCAGCAGCACATTTTCTTACTGTAGCATTACAGGACATTTTAAAATCACCAACAGTGATTCCTCTAGTTTTATTCATCATTGTTAAAGTGGCTTAATCTGTTCTGAATTTCTTGCATTTTCATATAAATTAGAGAATTAGCTTGTCAAATTCTGCCAAAAAAGACTAATGGGATTTTGATAAAGATGACATTGAATCTGTAGATCAGTTTGGGGAGTATCTTAACATTGGTCAAGTTTTTAAACACTTTAGTAATAAACATGTTAAGGTAAATTTTATGGCTAAGCCTTGTTTTATAAATAACTAATCCATATTTGTTAATCAGTACCTGATTTAAAATGAATAGGATATTGTAATATGGAGCTTGAATCATAAACTTGAGTAAGTTACAAATAATGATATATACATGTGTGTGTCTTTGCTGATTTCAGGTGATTGTTGTTCTTATGATTTTGTTTTCTAAAATCATTAATAATAGTAATCAACAATGTTCTTATTTGAACTTTTTCCCCCATGTGAGAAATTCAATAAGATTAGTGTCTCCAGTTCTCTGTGTCATTATAAAAACTTTAAAATCTTTCTTTTCCATTTTTTCCAAGAGTGAATAGGGAACAGAGGAAGATCAAAATTATTTCCTCATGTCTGTTATGACTTCATATTTGACCCATGGATTATTTTAAAGCATATGGTTTAATCTTTAGGTAGTTGGAATTCTTTGCATTTTATAATTGGCTTTCAGCGTATTTTTGCTGTTGTCAGAGAACGTATTTTGAATTGTTAAAGTTAACAATAGACAACATGTAAATAGAAATATACATTAAATAATAATACCCTGTAAATGATTGAAGATAAATTTTTCTGTAGTAATTGAATAGTTTAGGAAGGGGAATAAGATATTATTTAAAAGTTATATATATAGTGTCAAAATTCAATGGTTACCACTAAAAAAGAATGAAACTATGTAAATCTTAAACCTATGGGGAGAAAGAAAATTAATTGAAGGAAAACAACTACCCCTGGGAGTATATAAGCAAGAAATATAGGAAAAACAAGATAAATGCTATTTAAACGTTGATAACTGAGCCCAAATACATCAGAATCAAATGAACAAGTAGGTGGGATTTAACCTGTTAGAAGACTGTCAGCTTTAAGTTTTGAGCAAGATCAAAACTAAAAGTCAATAGTTTTCAAAATTAGTAGCCACAGAGTATTAGAAAACATTTTTTTCATTATGATAAAATATATATAACATAAAATTCACCATTTTAACTGTCTTTTAAAAGTTTTTCCAGCCAAGCATGGTGACATTCCCCTGTAATTTCAGCAGCTTAGGAGGCTGAGGCAGAAAGATTCCAAATTCAAGGCCAGCCTCAGCAACTTAAAAAGACCTTGTCTCAAAACAAAAAGGCTGGGATGTGGCACAGTGGTAAAGTGCCCCTGGATTCAATCCCCAGTACTGCAAACCAGAGTCTTTCAGTGGCATTAAATACATCACAACACTACCAATAACAACAATAAAAAAATGTTTTTTAAAAACACCACTTAAAGCCTGGGAATGTAGTTCAGAGATAGAATGCTTGCTTGGCATGTACAAGACCCTGGGTTTAATCCCCAACACTGCAAAAATAAATAATAGCAACAAAAAAACATTATTTATAGTAGCAAAAACAAAAACAAACAGACAAACAGAAAACACTATCTAGGGAATATTTTAGAAAAGACTTTTAGTGGTTGGGTTTTGGGTTTTTTTTTCCTCCCCCAGTCATTTTGGCAGTACCAGGGATTGGGCCCAAGGCCTCCATGCTAGGCAAACAAACATTCTACTACTGAGCCACATCCTCAGCCCTTTTTTAAATTTTTTGTTCAAGACAGGATCCCACTAACTTTCCCAGAATGATCCTGAACTTATGATCCTCCTGCCTCAGCCTCCCTAGTAGCTGAGATTTCAGGTGTTCACCACCATGCTCCACTCTAGAAAAGACTTTTAAAAGAAATTTTGTGGACTGGGGTTGTGGCTTAGTGGTAGAGCACTTGCCTGGCACATGTGAGGCACTTGGTTCAATTCCCAGCACCACATAAATAAAATAAAGGTATTGTGTCCATCTACAACTAAAAAATATTTTTAAAAAAGAAAGAAATTTTGTAAGACTTTGTTGAATGACATCAGAGAAAATTAAATCAGTGGATAAAATATACCATGTAGGGCTGGGGATGTGGCTCAAGCGGTGGCGCGCTCGCCTGGCATGCGTTCAGCCCGGGTTCGATCCTCAGCACCACATTACAAACAAAGATGTTGTGTCCTCCGAAAACTACAAAAAATATATATATATTAAAATTCTCTCTCTTAAAAAAAATATACCATGTACATACATAGGAAGACTCAATACCAGTTAATCTTTGAATTTAATATAATTCTAATCAAAATCTCAAGCTTATGGTTGAACTTGATAAGCCTATTCTAAAATGATAATAGAAAGGCAGGAAGACCAAGAATAGTGAGAACTCCTTGAAGAAGATAATTGAGGTAGAGGAATACTGTATTAAGATCTAATATAAAGATATAATGTTTAAGACTGTGATATTGACAAAAGAATAGACGGGATGACTGATGGAACAGAATGGAAAGTTAGGAACAATCACACAGATAAATGGAACTTTGATCTATGATAGACATGCATTGTAGATCTGTGGAAAAGGACGGATTACTCAATAAATGAAGGTGGGTAAAGTGAAATTAGATTCCTGCCTCATAGCATGTATGCGTACATGCATGCAAAATTTAAAACCTCTAGAATAAAATAAGAGACCATCTTTAAGATCTGTGGTGTGGAGCAATGGTAGAAACAAAAGCACTACTCCAAAAAGTCAGTAAGAAAAAGACAACTCAGTGGAAAACTGGTAACGGCTCTCAGAAAAGAAGAAGCATGCTCAATATCATTACGAATAAGAAAATGTAAATGAAGACTACAGTGACATTTATGTCTTCTTAGAGAAGAAAGAATTAAAGATGTTTGACAAAAATGAGTGTTGAAGAGTATGTGAATTAGCAGGAATTACTTTGTGTTGAAGGGAATCTAAAAAATACCATTCTAGTGTCATAATGTGAATTTGAAAACTCACTTATACTGTGACTTCACAGTCCCACTGTAGGCCTGGCCACAAGAGAATTTCTTGTGCATGTACACCAGAAGGTGTACATAGAGTGTGTTTGGCTGCATGGTTATAACAGCTCACGGTGACAAGAAATCCTGGGTGGTGGAATAGAGATGTAAGTTGTGTGTATTTTTTGCAAAATGAGATACCAGACAGCAGATAAAATATCAGTTTCAGCTCCACCCCAGTACCACAAAAATGAAATGAATGGATGGATGAATAAAATGAACAAATGAATAACTGGACAGGAGGAAAAATAGGGTGTTCCTACTTTTCTGGGTTTTTAATTTTTTCAATGAAATGTATTTTATAATCAATCAAGCATGAACCTTGATTTTTATATTATTTTATTTTTGCCAGAATTTCAGTGCTCAGAATAATAGAATTCTGATAAAATAGTTTAAAGAAGAAAGTTTAAGTCCAAAGGGACAGTCATTTGAGAATGTGCAATCATTGCTATTTTTCTGAGTACACTCAGTTTTTCTTTCATCCCCATTCCCTTTGAGTTTTTTGAGAAATATTGTGGATGATTTGACTGTGGATGCCGTAGACTACTGTGTAGTTACATAACAAAAAAACAAAGAGTTGTGAGTTTCAAAGATTTTCCTGTGGTGGGTGGGCTGGAACGGAGGCCCTTGTGTATGTGAGGCAGGCTCTTGACCACCGAGCTAGGCCTGAAGCCCAGTATATTTTTTAAGCTCAGTAAATTCTAGGAATGGTTTTCTATACTACTTAGGATGAAAATTCTTCTTCGTGAAGTTTTCATAGTAAGTGAAATCCCATTAATAAATGCGTGGAAGGCTGGCTATAGGAAGGACTTCCAGGGTATAGTAAGGATTTGTATTTATTTTTATGATCATTTAAGGATAGTCTATTGCTTCTTATTGCTGAAGATCCTTGGGGTCAGTAAAGTTTCTCTTGGCCTGATATCGCCCTGTCATCATCTGAATTTTTTTTCAGGGCTTTTTCCTAAGCCAGTGAATTTTTTTTTTTTCTTTTCAGCAGGTTCATGCCATCCAAACAAGCATCATTCAGGAGTAGCCAAAATGCAGAAAGAGGGAGAAGATGGTTCTTCATATGGCAAACGGTACAGCCAAAGTATGGTTACAGCTGAACTTCAGCGACTTGCTGAAAAGCAGGCAGCAAGGCAGTATTCTCCAGCCAGCCACATCAGTCTCCTCACGCAACAGGTAGGGACAGTCTGGAGTGCCAAAGAGTTCTTCAACCCAAAGATGGGATCAACAGGGTAGCCGGTCCTTCCCTGACTTTACTCCCTGTGCCTCTTGAATGAGTATTGGTTGGTAACAAGCTAAAACCAAGTGTTCCTTCCTTAAATGTAAAGAAAGCGACTTTCTCTTGCAGGCATTGATGTCTGCTGCTGGCTCTGGTGCACCTATTTTCAGGATAGACAGATTTGAATAAGTTCAGCTATAAATAGAATGTTAAAGAATTTTTTTTTAAATAACTTTTGTAAAATTATTAGTCTTTCTAGCAGAATGGCTGATGATGCTTTCACAAGCCTGTCCACAGAAGGCACCACCCTGCTCTCATAGTTCTCTGTGAAAACTTTAGGACCACTCTGCTCATCTTCATTTACTTCAGCCTCATCCCAGTTGTGGGAGGCAATAATTATTTTCTTTTTCAAATCCCTAGAAGTTTGAAGGGAGTAGAGGGAAGGCCCAGTGTGGAGTAGGAAACAAAGGAACTTCCCAGGACAGTGTTGAAACTCAATGGGAGGTGAATCTCTGGGTTTCAGTGCTAGAATGAGGGGACGAGGAAATACACCATCACAACCATGGTAGAAGGAGAAGGAATTTTGAAATGTGAAATGGCTACGAGAAAGGGTAAAGGCCTCTGATCTGCTATGCTTTTATCATTGGGTCACTGACTGCAATGTGTTTTCAGTTTGTAAATAAATAGCTAGAAGCACTAGACATTAAAAGACTTTCTTTGGGATGATTGTAAGAAAATATAGATAGCCGGATTTAGTGCTTAACATATTTTTAGTTCCTATCATTTGCTATACTGCAAAGCCTGCAAAATGATAAGAGCCTTATCCTGTGGGAGTGTAAGGTTTATGTGTCCTTAATGGGACGTCATCCTCCTTGAGCCTGTTTTTCTCATCCATAAGGAATTTCGGTGCCAGGGAACTAAAAGTCCACACGTATCCCATTCGTAGGAATCTGAACCTGCCATTAGATGTCAGTCTTAACTTTCTGAGTCTTGGTAATAGGGTGACCAGTGCTTGGTGCAGGCGGAGAGGTGCTGCAGTGTGTAATAAGCAGGGTGGACAGTTTGAAAGAGAGTTGAATTAGCTGTCTGCAGACTTGGGTTCTGCCGTTGACTTGCTGTGTGACGTTGGTCAGTTCACTCAGCTTCTGTCAACCGCAGGATCTTCATTTGTTGATGTGGGGAAAACACCACAGGGTCGTGAGGGTAGTGTGTAAAAACTTCTTGAAGTCTAAATGCCATATGCTTGGGAAACTTTGTTATTTAAACCATGAAGGGTTTCGGCAATAAATGGTTTCTCATTTGTTTTGAAAGGAGGAAGTTGTTGGATGAGATGAACTTTGTTATTGAAAAGCTCAATTGTATGTTATTTGGTCCCTTTTCTTCAGAGAAAGCAATTTCTTAATTTGGAATTTGGGAAATTCTGTCTGTTATTGTTCCTTTTCTGGTAAGTAGTTAAGAACCCATAACAGTAGTGTGATAAGGCTCTGGTATACTTTGTTCCTTTCCCTTTGTCTGTGTTTCAAAGAAAGTTTCCTTAGTCTCTTGCTCATGGAGGTGAGTGACACCTTTCCTGGCTCCCAGCAGAAGGCTCGGAACTCTGGCCTCTCAGCACTTGCCATCTGAGAACGGTCTCCAGAAATCACTTCAAAGTCTTTTGATTTCCTTTTACTTCTTCTTTTCCTTATTTTCAATTCCCACTTGTGTCTGTGCTTTCTTTTCTTTTTTCATTTTTCTGATAGGTTTAATGGCTACCCTTCCCCCTCTGTCCTTTTTTCATAAAACTAATTCTGGATATTTTTATTCATTCTATTCCAATTAATTTTTTCTTGTTTTATCTTTACTAATTCTTTATTTCTGCTTTCCTTATTTCTTTATTTTATTCTTTGGTTTAATTTATTCTTTGTGCTTTATTTCTTTATTATTTCTCCCCTATTTCTTGAATTGGGTGCTTAAATATTGAAAGCTATGAATTTTTCTCCGAGCATTACTTTAGTTATAGTCCCTGAACTCGGCCCTTCAATTGATTTTCTAGGCAAGGAGTTATGATCTTCCCCTCCTAGCTAAGGAAAGCTGATTTTAAATTATTTGTTCTGTTTTGGGAGATGGGTATAAAAATTGAAATCATTGGATATTTTTACAAAACTACTTTATTTTGCTTGTAATTTCAACTTCTTATTTTTTTAAAGCATTTAGTGGCATTTCCCATAAAACTTTATTCCTCATGTTTAATTTATTTATTAAGAAGCATTTTAACTTAGCTCTTAAGAGTGTTCAACCTTTGGACTAAGCCATAAAAATGGTCCTTGGTGTGGGATAACTCAGCGTCATTAGGGTGCAGCCATGGAAGCAGATGAACGTGCTTGACAGGTGCTCCCAGACAACAACAAAGCCACCAAGAGGGATTCCTGACCCAGCTTGTGTGGGAGTGGGAAGAAGGCCAGGTAGCCTTTGTAATACTTCAGCTGAACCTTAAAAGGTAAGCAAGTAGGTAGCAGAAGAAGAGAAGGAGCAGTTTCCAGAATAAAACCAGCATGCCTGTGTTTAGTGATGTCGAGGAGACTGGGGAGTCAGCAAGGGTAGCGGGATTGAAGTGCCCAAAAGGCAAGGGCTGACTCGGGGCGCTTCAGAGGCCCCCGTGAAGGAGCTTGGCCTTCTTCTCTTTGATGATACGGAACCACCAAGAGACAGCTGCTTGCCCTTTAGCTGGATCATTCAAGGTACTTGGGGGGGGGGTGGGCTAGGAATGAGGCAGTGTGACCTTTTTTACCTCCCTGTGCTCTGGTAAAGCTGGAGACCACAGGCAAAGAGTACTCCCTAAAACAACCCTAAAAATTGTTAATAAAGCCTAGAATACAAAAAAATATCAAACTTTCCCTGCCATATGAGCAGTGGCTACTTAAGAAGTGTTCATGCCAGCATACATACATTTGAAATATGACGAGGTATATGTTCCCAACATATTATTATTCAATAGATATCTTAAGAAATCTGAGCAGAGGGCAATTCAGATTTAATCTTTTCCCTTGGCATGTGAGAGGCTGGCTATCTTGTGGGATGGGATCTTTTGGCAACCTGTGTGTTTATTCCTGAGAGCAGTGTTTTCTCGAAGCATCTGTGCCTGTGGGGGCCATGTAGGGGCCCGTAGGGTGCTGGAGCGTGGCTTCGGTGTGAGGTCTCCCTATCTCTATCTCACTCCATGCGGCAAGAGAGGGCAGCTCTCAGAGCTCCAGCAGACGTGGCCCCTTGTGGTTCATGCTGCTAGAGCGCAGAAGAATGTGGCGAATTAGCCCAGCCTTGCGGTGAGGAGTGGGAGGCAGGGCGTCCGAGGGAGCCCTGGCCCTGTCTGTGCTGGCGAGTGTGAGATTTCAGGACCCAGCTATCATTAGGAGCAGCTCCAGCTCTCCCAGCCTGGAGTTTAATCAAAGGGATAGCAGCAGACCACCCAGGCAGGCCCACTGCACACCCGTGTGCTGTGTCAATCTCTGCTCCCCAGCCAGCCGCGCGCGACGTGGCCAGGCCTCCTGGAAATGTGCTGACAGATACAAGGAGGGAGGAGACACTCTTTGCTCTTCACATTTTTCATTTAGATGGAGAAGGGAACAAAAAACCATTTGGTTTCCTTTCATTTCTTTGCTCTTTCTGGGATACTTTCCTGCCTAGTCTTCGAGCAGGCTGTATCCGAGGTTCGGAACTCACTGGTTCACTGTCATTCACAGAGGAGCTCTCCCCTCATCTCTTCTGTGTCAGCAACTACCATTATAAGGGTCCAAAGTGAGAATCTCAGTTTCGAAATTGCAATTCAGAGGTGAAATTGGGAGAGACAGAGCTAACTCTTAGAAATGGTGCCCAGTGTATAACAAGTGTCAGCCACTGGCCACCAAAACTGGCCTAAGGCCTCCTTGGCGTATCTGGGTATCTGGATATGTATGAACACTACACATTTGTGCTCTGGTTTTGTTGTTCTTTTACTACCATTAATTGTCTTTTGTTTGTTTTCTTTCTTGGTAGAGAAAATTGAGCTCTTTCAGACCATATACATTACCTGTTCCCATTTCTAGAAAGAAAAAAGGGTACAAAGAAAAAGCAGAAGCTTTTGAGTTGGTGAGATCTTAAACAAGACACTTAGCCTCCCTGGGCCTTGATTTCTTCATCTGTTCAAAAAAAAAAAAAAAAAAGTGGGGGGGGGCTAATTTTAGTATCAAGAGCAATTCTCCCTCCTGGAGGCTGTGCCTCTCTACCTGGGACCCAGCTCCAATGGGTCCTGTCTCGTTCCCTTGCTCTTTTATGCCTCTTGAGACTTTAATCTCCTATTTCCCTTAGTTCCTTGGGTTACTCCATGACCTGTTACCTGAAAATAACCTTTCTTTTGCTTTTTAAACTCTTCTAACTCTTGTCTTCCCTAAAATAACATGACTTGCTGTCTGTCCTCAGTTTCCCTCTGGCTCCAACCCCCTGCCCCCTCCCCCACTTACTTGTGCAGACTGACTTTATTCCTTAACATTGGTCCAGCTGTCTCAGAGATTGTGGATGACCTTGGAATTGCCAACTTCAGTCACCTGGTTTTAGTCCTCATCTTCCTTTATCACATGGCTCTATTATTGACCACCTCCTTCCTGAAGTGTTCTCTTGAGTTTCTCTACCCTTCCACAGTTTCTCTGAGAACTTATTCCTTTATCAAAGTTCTTCCCCCTGGAAACTAGGTTCCATTTTCAACATTGTTTTAAAAGCCACTGGCATGTAGACCTAAATGTACAGAGAAGATGAGGTGATTGTTGGGCTCTGTGTTTCCTTGCTGTTTGTGACTGTCCCCTTACTCTCTGTGACTGTCCTCCAGCAGAGCTGTGGATTTCAGGCTGTAATTCTTTTTTTTTTTTTTTTTAAGAGAGAATGTGAGAGAGAGGGAGAGAGACAGAGAGAGAAAATTTTTAATATTTATTTTTTAGTTTTCGGCAGACAC